ATGGCACTCTTCCCACTTGCTCTTGATTCTAATCATCCCTCCTCTCCTTCCCTCTCCCACCCCCCACTTCCCCTCCCTGACTCTCAGTGTCCTGCTGGCATCAAGGACCATCGCTTCTCAAGGGACATGGGGCGCGGAGGCAGCAGCAGAGGGAGCAGCAGCAGAGGGAGCAGCAGCAGAGGGAGCAGCAGCAGAGGGAGCAGCAGCAGAGGGAGCAGCAGCAGAGGGTCTTCATGGGCTCGCCAGCAACCAAGAAACAGATGAGTATCCCTTCACCAGTAACTTCGCCTTAACCCCTGTCTATTTCCCCGCTTCTCATGTTGCATGCTGCTTGTTGCGTATGCATTGCTCGCCCATTTGGCTGCTTTCAGCTGACGTCACTCATCCGCATCTGCATCTGCTGCTTCCACTCACCCACTCATTCCCGCCCTCCTGCCCTTCCTACCCCCTCCTCTGCCCACCGCCCGCCCCCCAGGACCCCAGGGAGCAGCGCGCAGCGCCCAGCGCCCTGCGGCCAGCAAGCAGCGTGCGGAGGGGAGTGCAGCTGCTGCTCCCACCCGCGTGCTTCAACCCGCTTCCACTGCGCCCATCTGCACCGCACTGCACCGCACCGCAGCTAAGTATCTCAACCTGCTCCCCACCACCTGCCATGCTCCTTCATCCCTTGGCCTTTTCAGCCACTGGCTTCCTTGCTCTTAGCTCGTACCTCGTTTCTTGCAATGTCATCTGGTGCTCTGCTTGGTCCTTTCGCCCCTGCTGCATTTTTGCTTCTTGACTGGCTCTCCAACCATCACCTACTAATCGCCTTCTCTGCACCCTCCCCACCCCGCCCCAGCAGGCTCGTTGGCAACTGCTGGTGGTGATGGTGGAGGGTGTTGGTGAGTGGTGGTGGTGGTGTTGGTGGCGGTGGTGGTGGCGGTGGCGGTGGTTGGTGGTGGTGGTGGTGGTGGGTGGAGGGTGGAGAGTGGTGGTTGGGGGGGGAGCCTTGGGACTGGATGCCAATAGCCGCACGTTTAAAGCTCGCGTCTCAAATTTCACCCTTCCGACCAAGTGTTAAACGCTTGGGATCCGGTAACAGCTGGGTTTGTCGCAAAGCACACCAAGGCAAGGGGTGGTTTGGGAAGGTTGGTTGGGAGAGGTTTGAAACAGGGCCTCGTTCCAGGCAAAACCAACTCCAAAGGGAAACAACGTGTTGCAAAGTTGGTTGGGACAGGAATACGACAACGCAGGTTGGGAAACACATCTGCACGAACCAATCTACAGGTGTACAGAAAAACGTGCGACAACAGAGGCATCGTCGCACACTTCCCCGTGCAAACCAAGCATTTACAGCTCTCAGAATTATGAGACTCAGAACTCTCAACTTTGACAAAACGGTTCGTGTAGGCACCAGTTCAAGTGTTTTACCAGCCATATGCCACGTCTTTTAGTATAGCTAGCCTTGAAAACTCAGTCGCGATCATGATGTAGGGGAAACCGTGCGCCTATAGACCTTGGCGCATTCCGTGACCCGCATTCTCTAAGCCCGAACACGGGAAAATCATCAAATTTAGCGTGTCCAATCCCCACCTTCGTCCTCTCCTCGCCAAAAACTGCCGGCGTGGGGTTCATCGCCATTCATCAACCGCCCTTATTAGGTGAAAGGGGAAGGTCGCAGTAGCATGAAGGGTGGAAAGGACGATAGGGACGAGCCAAACGCGGCAAACGCGGCAATGGGGCGATATCACCGAAGTCGCGGGACTAAGGCCCGCCGAGTGACGCGGGAAAGGTGTGTACCCTGCCGGTGAGCGCGCGCACACCTCCCTTCAAGGGGCGCGCACCCAGCTGTAAGCAGCGCGCACACCGCAAGCAGCTGAGTGCGCCCCGCTGTAGGCATCACGCGCCACCTGAGCCTCAGCGCTCGCCCCGCTATAGGCATGAGGCGCCTCTTTAGCATCAGCGCGAATGCGCCTGTAATCTCACGCGCCATTCGTCACGTAATCGCGCATGGTGCGGGTATGTCAAGCACTACATGAGAGGGGGGAGGAGGAGAGGACAGAGGGGGGGAGCCTTGGGACTGGATGCCAATAGCCGCACGTTTAAAGCTCGCGTCTCAAATTTCACCCTTCCGACCAAGTGTTAAACGCTTGGGATCCGGTAACAGCTGGGTTTGTCGCAAAGCACACCAAGGCAAGGGGTGGTTTGGGAAGGTTGGTTGGGAGAGGTTTGAAACAGGGCCTCGTTCCAGGCAAAACCAACTCCAAAGGGAAACAACGTGTTGCAAAGTTGGTTGGGACAGGAATACGACAACGCAGGTTGGGAAACACACCTGCACGAACCAATCTACAGGTGTACAGAAAAACGTGCGACAACAGAGGCATCGTCGCACACTTCCCCGTGCAAACCAAGCATTTACAGCTCTCAGAATTATGAGACTCAGAACTCTCAACTTTGACAAAACGGTTCGTGTAGGCACCAGTTCAAGTGTTTTACCAGCCATATGCCACGTCTTTTAGTATAGCTAGCCTTGAAAACTCAGTCGCGATCATGATGTAGGGGAAACCGTGCGCCTATAGACCTTGGCGCATTCCGTGACCCGCATTCTCTAAGCCCGAACACGGGAAAATCATCAAATTTAGCGTGTCCAATCCCCACCTTCGTCCTCTCCTCGCCAAAAACTGCCGGCGTGGGGTTCATCGCCATTCATCAACCGCCCTTATTAGGTGAAAGGGGAAGGTCGCAGTAGCATGAAGGGTGGAAAGGACGATAGGGACGAGCCAAACGCGGCAAACGCGGCAATGGGGCGATATCACCGAAGTCGCGGGACTAAGGCCCGCCGAGTGACGCGGGAAAGGTGTGTACCCTGCCGGTGAGCGCGCGCACACCTCCCTTCAAGGGGCGCGCACCCAGCTGTAAGCAGCGCGCACACCGCAAGCAGCTGAGTGCGCCCCGCTGTAGGCATCACGCGCCACCTGAGCCTCAGCGCTCGCCCCGCTATAGGCATGAGGCGCCTCTTTAGCATCAGCGCGAATGCGCCTGTAATCTCACGCGCCATTCGTCACGTAATCGCGCATGGTGCGGGTATGTCAAGCACTACATGAGAGGGGGGAGGAGGAGAGGACAGAGGGGGGGAGCCTTGGGACTGGATGCCAATAGCCGCACGTTTAAAGCTCGCGTCTCAAATTTCACCCTTCCGACCAAGTGTTAAACGCTTGGGATCCGGTAACAGCTGGGTTTGTCGCAAAGCACACCAAGGCAAGGGGTGGTTTGGGAAGGTTGGTTGGGAGAGGTTTGAAACAGGGCCTCGTTCCAGGCAAAACCAACTCCAAAGGGAAACAACGTGTTGCAAAGTTGGTTGGGACAGGAATACGACAACGCAGGTTGGGAAACACACCTGCACGAACCAATCTACAGGTGTACAGAAAAACGTGCGACAACAGAGGCATCGTCGCACACTTCCCCGTGCAAACCAAGCATTTACAGCTCTCAGAATTATGAGACTCAGAACTCTCAACTTTGACAAAACGGTTCGTGTAGGCACCAGTTCAAGTGTTTTACCAGCCATATGCCACGTCTTTTAGTATAGCTAGCCTTGAAAACTCAGTCGCGATCATGATGTAGGGGAAACCGTGCGCCTATAGACCTTGGCGCATTCCGTGACCCGCATTCTCTAAGCCCGAACACGGGAAAATCATCAAATTTAGCGTGTCCAATCCCCACCTTCGTCCTCTCCTCGCCAAAAACTGCCGGCGTGGGGTTCATCGCCATTCATCAACCGCCCTTATTAGGTGAAAGGGGAAGGTCGCAGTAGCATGAAGGGTGGAAAGGACGATAGGGACGAGCCAAACGCGGCAAACGCGGCAATGGGGCGATATCACCGAAGTCGCGGGACTAAGGCCCGCCGAGTGACGCGGGAAAGGTGTGTACCCTGCCGGTGAGCGCGCGCACACCTCCCTTCAAGGGGCGCGCACCCAGCTGTAAGCAGCGCGCACACCGCAAGCAGCTGAGTGCGCCCCGCTGTAGGCATCACGCGCCACCTGAGCCTCAGCGCTCGCCCCGCTATAGGCATGAGGCGCCTCTTTAGCATCAGCGCGAATGCGCCTGTAATCTCACGCGCCATTCGTCACGTAATCGCGCATGGTGCGGGTATGTCAAGCACTACATGAGAGGGGGGAGGAGGAGAGGACAGAGGGGGGGAGCCTTGGGACTGGATGCCAATAGCCGCACGTTTAAAGCTCGCGTCTCAAATTTCACCCTTCCGACCAAGTGTTAAACGCTTGGGATCCGGTAACAGCTGGGTTTGTCGCAAAGCACACCAAGGCAAGGGGTGGTTTGGGAAGGTTGGTTGGGAGAGGTTTGAAACAGGGCCTCGTTCCAGGCAAAACCAACTCCAAAGGGAAACAACGTGTTGCAAAGTTGGTTGGGACAGGAATACGACAACGCAGGTTGGGAAACACACCTGCACGAACCAATCTACAGGTGTACAGAAAAACGTGCGACAACAGAGGCATCGTCGCACACTTCCCCGTGCAAACCAAGCATTTACAGCTCTCAGAATTATGAGACTCAGAACTCTCAACTTTGACAAAACGGTTCGTGTAGGCACCAGTTCAAGTGTTTTACCAGCCATATGCCACGTCTTTTAGTATAGCTAGCCTTGAAAACTCAGTCGCGATCATGATGTAGGGGAAACCGTGCGCCTATAGACCTTGGCGCATTCCGTGACCCGCATTCTCTAAGCCCGAACACGGGAAAATCATCAAATTTAGCGTGTCCAATCCCCACCTTCGTCCTCTCCTCGCCAAAAACTGCCGGCGTGGGGTTCATCGCCATTCATCAACCGCCCTTATTAGGTGAAAGGGGAAGGTCGCAGTAGCATGAAGGGTGGAAAGGACGATAGGGACGAGCCAAACGCGGCAAACGCGGCAATGGGGCGATATCACCGAAGTCGCGGGACTAAGGCCCGCCGAGTGACGCGGGAAAGGTGTGTACCCTGCCGGTGAGCGCGCGCACACCTCCCTTCAAGGGGCGCGCACCCAGCTGTAAGCAGCGCGCACACCGCAAGCAGCTGAGTGCGCCCCGCTGTAGGCATCACGCGCCACCTGAGCCTCAGCGCTCGCCCCGCTATAGGCATGAGGCGCCTCTTTAGCATCAGCGCGAATGCGCCTGTAATCTCACGCGCCATTCGTCACGTAATCGCGCATGGTGCGGGTATGTCAAGCACTACATGAGAGGGGGGAGGAGGAGAGGACAGAGGGGGGGAGAAGGTGCGCTGAGAGGGGGGAGGAGGAGAGGACAGAGGGGGGGAGAAGGTGCGCTGAGAGGGGGGGAGACCCGGTGCTACCCCTCCTATCCCCCCCTGCTTCTCCTCCTTTCCCCCCGGTGCTACCCCTCCTTCCCTGCTTCCCCCCATCCCCTTCCCTGCTTCCCCCCATCCCCTCCCCTTCTTCCCCCCATCCCCTTCCCAGCTTCCCCCCATCCCCTTCCCTGCTTCCCCCCATCCCCTTTCCTGCTTCCCCCCATCCCCTGGCACCCGCACTCTCACTCTCCTTTCCTCCCGCACTCTCTCTCTCCGTCCTCTCCCACTCGCACTCTCCTTCCCCCCACCCTCTGCCCAGTTGTCACCTGCCCTCCCAATGCCTGCCTTTCCCTCCCTGCCCTGCGCTTTCCTTCCCCATCCCTTCTCAACCCTTCCCTTCCTTTTCATGCCCTCCCCTTCCCCCTCACTCCTCACCTTCCACCCTCTAGTTCCCATGCACGTGCACCCATCACTGTCTCCCCATACATTATTTCATCATGTGCGCTTGCTTGTGTTCCCTTGCAGTTGTTCCCTTGGCACCTCACACCACCTCCCCCATGTTCATTCACACAATTCTTTCTGCCTACTCCACTCCCCTAATTTTCAGTGGTGAAGCAGAAGAGCAAGCTGAGGCGCAGCTAAAGCTAGTCCATGCTTTACACCGTACCACCACCTGTTTCTTGTGTGTTGTATGCAATCATGTTCTGCGGGGGGGGAGGAGGAGAGGACAGAGGGGGGAAGGAAGGGTGATATACCAGTTTGCGATAAATTCCCCTAATTTCCCCCCAATCCCCCCTCCGCTCCCTCTCATTCCCCCCTCTGCTCCCTGTCATTCCCCCCCCCCTGCTCCCTCTCATTCCCCCCTCTGCTCCCTCTCATTCCCCCCTCTGCTCCCTCTCATTCCCCCCTCTGCTCCCTATCATCCCCCCCCCCCCCCTGTTCCCTCTCATTCCCCCCTCCGCTCCCTCTCATTCCCCCCTCTGCTCCCTCTCATTCCCCCCTCTGCTCCCTATCATCCCCCCCCCCCTGTTCCCTCTCATTCCCCCCTCTGCTCCCTGTCATTCCCCCCCCCCTGTTCCCTCTCATTCCCCCCTCTGCTCCCTCTCATTCCCCCCTCTGCTCCCTCTCATTCCCCCCTCTGCTCCCTGTTATCCCCCCCTCCGCTCCCCATAAATTACAGCTCTGCTTTCCCATCAATTCCCCTACTGCACCAGGTCAATACAGAACCCCCTCTGCTATAAAATAATTTCCCCTTGTGCTCCCCATCAATTTACTCACTCCTTCCCCTCATTTCCCCCTTTCCCTCCCCTCCTTTTCAGCCTCCCTCTTCTCCAGCTGCTTCAGCCTTGACACTCAGGATTTTGTCAGAACTGGTCCGCCACGCATGAATTTTGTTAAGCTTTAGCTATTAAATAGTACCGGTTTGACAAGTACCCATGACATGTATCAATGTTGGATGCTTCTTTATAAAAATCACTTCAGTGTTTAGAATACTGAACTGAGCCATTCAGTTGATCACTACAAAGAAGTGCAACAAAGGTTTCCAGACAAGTCACCTTGCCTTCCAGACACAGCAGGTGCAGCAGAGGCAGCGAGGGAGGAGGGCAGGCCATAGCTGCCCTGGCGCCACCCACCCCCCACCTGCACCACACGCATCGCCTCATACCCCGCCACTGCCCACTCCCCCTGCACGCCCTGACTCGAACCAACTGCGCCCCCCACTGCCTTCTCGCCTCCACTGCCAGCATCTGCATCAGCAGGCTTTGTGTGTGGCGGCAGTGGCAGGAGGGCTGTTGCTTGTGTGCGACCAGGTGCGATGGCGGAGAGGGACGTCCACAAGCAGATGGACGAGAGGGCGTATGGCGGCGTGAAGGCGGGTGGGGGTGGTGAGGTGAGGGTGAAGGAGGGGGGAGTGGCTGGTAGCAGCGGCTGCAGATTCCACTGCACAAATGGGTTCAGAGCGGTGCAGTTGGTGTACGGCTCTCCTGAGGGTGAAGGATGGGGACAGGAGGGCAGGAAGAGGGATGGGGTAGAGTGGAGATGAGAGGGGAAAGGGGAGACAAGATGAGCACTCAGAAATAGAGCACAGAATCAAGGCAGAGGGTAATCAAGTGGAGGCGAGGAGGCGGGCAGCGAGCAGCAGCGAGTGGCCCACAAGCGCTACTGAAGCATCCACCCTGCTTCATCCCCACCTCTCACCTTCCCCACTGCCCTGGGAGCGGCTCTATAACCCCCCCCTCCCGCCCCTTCCCACTGCTCAGCACCCTGTCCTCCTTGTGTTCTGCCACTAAGCAGTGGCAGCAGGCAATCATACATCATGGTGATAATCAAGCACAAGGAATTCACCCACTCAGCTCGCACCCACACCACCATCCTTCCAAAACCCATGCCCCCTCTCCCCTCCTTGGCCTGCCCGCCGCGCATGCTCCTCCCACACTATCTGAACCGCCTTGGGGTTGGCCCCCGCTGCTTCTACCTCTGCTGGCTCTATTCCCTGGTGTGCAAGTCATCTCACTGCCTCCCACTGCTGCTTGGTCACTGCATTGTGTAATGGAGTCCCTGGGGGAGGGCAGAGGGCGGAGGGCAGAGAGCGGGGGGCGGATGGTGGATGAGAGAAGGCGGAGGGATACAAAGAGGAGGAAAGCGGCTCTGGAAGCAGATGCAGAGCCAGAGCAATTCAAGCGGGGTGCAGAGGGCACCGCAGGGTAGAGCGCATGAAGGCAAGAGGGCTAAGAAGCTGGGTGGAGAAAGAAACGAGCGAAGCACTTTCTACCGTTCTTGCATTGAACCAATCATGGCACTCACAGCCGCAAGGCACTCACAGCCGCCAGGCACGCACAGCCGCCAGCAGGCACATGCAGTCCACGTGGCCGCCATACGCCGCCACGTGCAGTGGCGTGGTGGCGTTGCGCGTGGTGGCGTTGCGCGGTGGTTGGTGGTGGTGGTGGTGGTGGGTGGAGGGTGGAGAGTGGTGGTTGGGGGGGGAGCCTTGGGACTGGATGCCAATAGCCGCACGTTTAAAGCTCGCGTCTCAAATTTCACCCTTCCGACCAAGTGTTAAACGCTTGGGATCCGGTAACAGCTGGGTTTGTCGCAAAGCACACCAAGGCAAGGGGTGGTTTGGGAAGGTTGGTTGGGAGAGGTTTGAAACAGGGCCTCGTTCCAGGCAAAACCAACTCCAAAGGGAAACAACGTGTTGCAAAGTTGGTTGGGACAGGAATACGACAACGCAGGTTGGGAAACACACCTGCACGAACCAATCTACAGGTGTACAGAAAAACGTGCGACAACAGAGGCATCGTCGCACACTTCCCCGTGCAAACCAAGCATTTACAGCTCTCAGAATTATGAGACTCAGAACTCTCAACTTTGACAAAACGGTTCGTGTAGGCACCAGTTCAAGTGTTTTACCAGCCATATGCCACGTCTTTTAGTATAGCTAGCCTTGAAAACTCAGTCGCGATCATGATGTAGGGGAAACCGTGCGCCTATAGACCTTGGCGCATTCCGTGACCCGCATTCTCTAAGCCCGAACACGGGAAAATCATCAAATTTAGCGTGTCCAATCCCCACCTTCGTCCTCTCCTCGCCAAAAACTGCCGGCGTGGGGTTCATCGCCATTCATCAACCGCCCTTATTAGGTGAAAGGGGAAGGTCGCAGTAGCATGAAGGGTGGAAAGGACGATAGGGACGAGCCAAACGCGGCAAACGCGGCAATGGGGCGATATCACCGAAGTCGCGGGACTAAGGCCCGCCGAGTGACGCGGGAAAGGTGTGTACCCTGCCGGTGAGCGCGCGCACACCTCCCTTCAAGGGGCGCGCACCCAGCTGTAAGCAGCGCGCACACCGCAAGCAGCTGAGTGCGCCCCGCTGTAGGCATCACGCGCCACCTGAGCCTCAGCGCTCGCCCCGCTATAGGCATGAGGCGCCTCTTTAGCATCAGCGCGAATGCGCCTGTAATCTCACGCGCCATTCGTCACGTAATCGCGCATGGTGCGGGTATGTCAAGCACTACATGAGAGGGGGGAGGAGGAGAGGACAGAGGGGGGGAGCCTTGGGACTGGATGCCAATAGCCGCACGTTTAAAGCTCGCGTCTCAAATTTCACCCTTCCGACCAAGTGTTAAACGCTTGGGATCCGGTAACAGCTGGGTTTGTCGCAAAGCACACCAAGGCAAGGGGTGGTTTGGGAAGGTTGGTTGGGAGAGGTTTGAAACAGGGCCTCGTTCCAGGCAAAACCAACTCCAAAGGGAAACAACGTGTTGCAAAGTTGGTTGGGACAGGAATACGACAACGCAGGTTGGGAAACACACCTGCACGAACCAATCTACAGGTGTACAGAAAAACGTGCGACAACAGAGGCATCGTCGCACACTTCCCCGTGCAAACCAAGCATTTACAGCTCTCAGAATTATGAGACTCAGAACTCTCAACTTTGACAAAACGGTTCGTGTAGGCACCAGTTCAAGTGTTTTACCAGCCATATGCCACGTCTTTTAGTATAGCTAGCCTTGAAAACTCAGTCGCGATCATGATGTAGGGGAAACCGTGCGCCTATAGACCTTGGCGCATTCCGTGACCCGCATTCTCTAAGCCCGAACACGGGAAAATCATCAAATTTAGCGTGTCCAATCCCCACCTTCGTCCTCTCCTCGCCAAAAACTGCCGGCGTGGGGTTCATCGCCATTCATCAACCGCCCTTATTAGGTGAAAGGGGAAGGTCGCAGTAGCATGAAGGGTGGAAAGGACGATAGGGACGAGCCAAACGCGGCAAACGCGGCAATGGGGCGATATCACCGAAGTCGCGGGACTAAGGCCCGCCGAGTGACGCGGGAAAGGTGTGTACCCTGCCGGTGAGCGCGCGCACACCTCCCTTCAAGGGGCGCGCACCCAGCTGTAAGCAGCGCGCACACCGCAAGCAGCTGAGTGCGCCCCGCTGTAGGCATCACGCGCCACCTGAGCCTCAGCGCTCGCCCCGCTATAGGCATGAGGCGCCTCTTTAGCATCAGCGCGAATGCGCCTGTAATCTCACGCGCCATTCGTCACGTAATCGCGCATGGTGCGGGTATGTCAAGCACTACATGAGAGGGGGGAGGAGGAGAGGACAGAGGGGGGGAGAAGGTGCGCTGAGAGGGGGGAGGAGGAGAGGACAGAGGGGGGGAGAAGGTGCGCTGAGAGGGGGGGAGACCCGGTGCTACCCCTCCTATCCCCCCCTGCTTCTCCTCCTTTCCCCCCGGTGCTACCCCTCCTTCCCTGCTTCCCCCCATCCCCTTCCCTGCTTCCCCCCATCCCCTCCCCTTCTTCCCCCCATCCCCTTCCCAGCTTCCCCCCATCCCCTTCCCTGCTTCCCCCCATCCCCTTTCCTGCTTCCCCCCATCCCCTGGCACCCGCACTCTCACTCTCCTTTCCTCCCGCACTCTCTCTCTCCGTCCTCTCCCACTCGCACTCTCCTTCCCCCCACCCTCTGCCCAGTTGTCACCTGCCCTCCCAATGCCTGCCTTTCCCTCCCTGCCCTGCGCTTTCCTTCCCCATCCCTTCTCAACCCTTCCCTTCCTTTTCATGCCCTCCCCTTCCCCCTCACTCCTCACCTTCCACCCTCTAGTTCCCATGCACGTGCACCCATCACTGTCTCCCCATACATTATTTCATCATGTGCGCTTGCTTGTGTTCCCTTGCAGTTGTTCCCTTGGCACCTCACACCACCTCCCCCATGTTCATTCACACAATTCTTTCTGCCTACTCCACTCCCCTAATTTTCAGTGGTGAAGCAGAAGAGCAAGCTGAGGCGCAGCTAAAGCTAGTCCATGCTTTACACCGTACCACCACCTGTTTCTTGTGTGTTGTATGCAATCATGTTCTGCGGGGGGGGAGGAGGAGAGGACAGAGGGGGGAAGGAAGGGTGATATACCAGTTTGCGATAAATTCCCCTAATTTCCCCCCAATCCCCCCTCCGCTCCCTCTCATTCCCCCCTCTGCTCCCTGTCATTCCCCCCCCCCTGCTCCCTCTCATTCCCCCCTCTGCTCCCTCTCATTCCCCCCTCTGCTCCCTCTCATTCCCCCCTCTGCTCCCTATCATCCCCCCCCCCCCCCCTGTTCCCTCTCATTCCCCCCTCCGCTCCCTCTCATTCCCCCCTCTGCTCCCTCTCATTCCCCCCTCTGCTCCCTATCATCCCCCCCCCCCTGTTCCCTCTCATTCCCCCCTCTGCTCCCTGTCATTCCCCCCCCCCTGTTCCCTCTCATTCCCCCCTCTGCTCCCTCTCATTCCCCCCTCTGCTCCCTCTCATTCCCCCCTCTGCTCCCTGTTATCCCCCCCTCCGCTCCCCATAAATTACAGCTCTGCTTTCCCATCAATTCCCCTACTGCACCAGGTCAATACAGAACCCCCTCTGCTATAAAATAATTTCCCCTTGTGCTCCCCATCAATTTACTCACTCCTTCCCCTCATTTCCCCCTTTCCCTCCCCTCCTTTTCAGCCTCCCTCTTCTCCAGCTGCTTCAGCCTTGACACTCAGGATTTTGTCAGAACTGGTCCGCCACGCATGAATTTTGTTAAGCTTTAGCTATTAAATAGTACCGGTTTGACAAGTACCCATGACATGTATCAATGTTGGATGCTTCTTTATAAAAATCACTTCAGTGTTTAGAATACTGAACTGAGCCATTCAGTTGATCACTACAAAGAAGTGCAACAAAGGTTTCCAGACAAGTCACCTTGCCTTCCAGACACAGCAGGTGCAGCAGAGGCAGCGAGGGAGGAGGGCAGGCCATAGCTGCCCTGGCGCCACCCACCCCCCACCTGCACCACACGCATCGCCTCATACCCCGCCACTGCCCACTCCCCCTGCACGCCCTGACTCGAACCAACTGCGCCCCCCACTGCCTTCTCGCCTCCACTGCCAGCATCTGCATCAGCAGGCTTTGTGTGTGGCGGCAGTGGCAGGAGGGCTGTTGCTTGTGTGCGACCAGGTGCGATGGCGGAGAGGGACGTCCACAAGCAGATGGACGAGAGGGCGTATGGCGGCGTGAAGGCGGGTGGGGGTGGTGAGGTGAGGGTGAAGGAGGGGGGAGTGGCTGGTAGCAGCGGCTGCAGATTCCACTGCACAAATGGGTTCAGAGCGGTGCAGTTGGTGTACGGCTCTCCTGAGGGTGAAGGATGGGGACAGGAGGGCAGGAAGAGGGATGGGGTAGAGTGGAGATGAGAGGGGAAAGGGGAGACAAGATGAGCACTCAGAAATAGAGCACAGAATCAAGGCAGAGGGTAATCAAGTGGAGGCGAGGAGGCGGGCAGCGAGCAGCAGCGAGTGGCCCACAAGCGCTACTGAAGCATCCACCCTGCTTCATCCCCACCTCTCACCTTCCCCACTGCCCTGGGAGCGGCTCTATAACCCCCCCCTCCCGCCCCTTCCCACTGCTCAGCACCCTGTCCTCCTTGTGTTCTGCCACTAAGCAGTGGCAGCAGGCAATCATACATCATGGTGATAATCAAGCACAAGGAATTCACCCACTCAGCTCGCACCCACACCACCATCCTTCCAAAACCCATGCCCCCTCTCCCCTCCTTGGCCTGCCCGCCGCGCATGCTCCTCCCACACTATCTGAACCGCCTTGGGGTTGGCCCCCGCTGCTTCTACCTCTGCTGGCTCTATTCCCTGGTGTGCAAGTCATCTCACTGCCTCCCACTGCTGCTTGGTCACTGCATTGTGTAATGGAGTCCCTGGGGGAGGGCAGAGGGCGGAGGGCAGAGAGCGGGGGGCGGATGGTGGATGAGAGAAGGCGGAGGGATACAAAGAGGAGGAAAGCGGCTCTGGAAGCAGATGCAGAGCCAGAGCAATTCAAGCGGGGTGCAGAGGGCACCGCAGGGTAGAGCGCATGAAGGCAAGAGGGCTAAGAAGCTGGGTGGAGAAAGAAACGAGCGAAGCACTTTCTACCGTTCTTGCATTGAACCAATCATGGCACTCACAGCCGCAAGGCACTCACAGCCGCCAGGCACGCACAGCCGCCAGCAGGCACATGCAGTCCACGTGGCCGCCATACGCCGCCACGTGCAGTGGCGTGGTGGCGTTGCGCGTGCTGCACACCCCCGCTGGCATGCCCATGCGCAACAGCGCCTGCAGCTGCAGGCACATGCATGGGAGAACGGCGGGGAGGGAGAGAAGCGGGCAGCAGGGTGAGTGCGGTCCATGCCTGCGACATTATTGAAGGTGCATGTGAGTGCAGGCACGTGGACGGGGAGGGATGAGTGCACACGCGTGATGGACGGTGGGTTCAGAGAGTGTTGAGCGGGCTGCATGGCTGTGCTGCATGGGTGAGAGCTGGTGCATGGCTGTGCTGCATGGGTGAGAGCTGGTGCATGGCTGTGCTGCATGGGTGAGAGCTGGTGCATGGCTGTGCTGCATGGGTGAGAGCTGGTGCATGGCTGTGCTGCATGGGTGAGAGCTGGTGCATGGCTGTGCTGCATGGGTGAGAGCTGGTGCATGGCTGTGCTGCATGGGTGAGAGCTGGTGCATGGCTGTGCTGCATGGGTGAGAGCTGGTGCATGGCTGTGCTGCATGGGTGAGAGCTGGTGCATGGCTGTGCTGCATGGGTGAGAGCTGGTGCATGGCTGTGCTGCATGGGTGAGAGCTGGTGCATGGCTGTGCTGCATGGGTGAGAGCTGGTGCATGGCTGTGCTGCATGGGTGAGAGCTGGTGCATGGCTGTGCTGCATGGGTGAGAGCTGGTGCATGGCTGTGCTGCATGGGTGAGAGCTGGTGCATGGCTGTGCTGCATGGGTGAGAGCTGGTGCATGGCTGTGCTGCATGGGTGAGAGCTGGTGCATGGCTGTGCTGCATGGGTGAGAGCTGGTGCATGGCTGTGCTGCATGGGTGAGAGCTGGTGCATGGCTGTGCTGCATGGGTGAGAGCTGGTGCATGGCTGTGCTGCATGGGTGAGAGCTGGTGCATGGCTGTGCTGCATGGGTGAGAGCTGGTGCATGGCTGTGCTGCATGGGTGAGAGCTGGTGCATGGCTGTGCTGCATGGGTGAGAGCTGGTGCATGGCTGTGCTGCATGGGTGAGAGCTGGTGCATGGCTGTGCTGCATGGGTGAGAGCTGGTGCATGGCTGTGCTGCATGGGTGCAGGCGGGGAGGCAGGTGAGACTGACCACGGGGGAGTCACCATTCCGAGCAGCCACATGCATGGCGGTCCAGCCCCACTTGTCCACCACGCCACTCAGCCCCTCTGCTGACTCCACCCCGCATGCCCGCACCACATGCCACAGCCCCTGCCCCTCCTCCTCCCCACCACCCTCACCACTAGTACATCCCCTCCCCCATGCACTCACCTCCCTGTCAAAAGGGACGACGTCTCTCTTCCCCCTCCTCGGGCAGCACCTGCTCTCCCCCTCCATTCCCCCTCCCCATCAACCCGCGCCTTATTCCGCCCACCCCTAATCTCCTTCCGCCCATCCCTGATCTCATTCCGCGCTTCCCTAATCTCATTCCGCCCTTCCATAATCTCATTCCATCATAACTACTCGCATTTCGCCCATCCGCAATCTCATTCCGCTCTTCATACTCTCATTCCGCCCTTCCTACTGTCATCCCTCCCTTCTTAATCTCGTTCCGCCCTTGTTCCTCTCATTCCGCCCTTCTTCCTCTCATACCGCCCTTTTTCCTCTCATTCCGCCTTTCTTCCTCTCATTCCGCCTTTCTTCCTCTCATTCCGCACTTCTTCCTCTTATTCCGCCCTTCTTCCTCATTCCGCCCTTCGTCCTCTCTTTCCGTCCTTTTTCCTCTCCATCCGCCGTTCTTCCTCGCATTCCGCCCCTCGTTCTCTCATCGCGCCCTTCATCCTCTCATTCCGCCCTTCTGCCTCTCAATCCGCCCTTCTTCATCTCACACCGCCCTTCCTACCTGTTTTCGACGTTCCAAATCGCATTACGCAAACCCTAAACTCATTCCGCACATCCCTACTCTCATTCCGCCCGTAGTAGTCGCAATCTGCCCTTCCTAATCTCAATCCGCGTTTTCCACTCTAAATCCGCCCATCCCGTCTCTCATTCCCGATCAAGGAAGATGCTCTCATACTAATCGTAAACGGGGGAAATAATGCTTAGCTGGCTTTCTATTTCGGTGTTACTACGGCTCAGCGACGGGAGTATGGTTGCTTGGCGTGGGCACTCATTTTCTGACTTCACACTTCTGTCAACCTCAAAACGTGATTGCGTCGCCAGGGTGGGTCGCATAGTTCTCAATCAGACGCAAACCTGTCCCCCAAGGCTCGTCTTACACCCAAACCTGCCCACCCAGGTTTGTTTTGGCCTTGATTGTTGGGGAGTTCGCTGTGTTCTTTTCACCCGCTCGTAAAAACTTTCGTCTTTCGTTACCCAATCACGGACGGGCAAACCCAACCAGGTGTTAAACCTTTGGAAATTTGAGACCTGAGCTTTAAGGCATAATGGACGATCACCAGACCCTGCGGCCGGGGGTCTGGTGTGGCTCCCCTCTTGCCACGTCGGTGAGGCTTCAGCTCTCGGGGTCTCCTCTTAGCCCCACTCAGGCGTGGTGGTGGAGTGTGGTGGGAAGTGGTGGAGAGTGGTGGTGGTGGTGGTGGTGGTGGGGTGGAGGAAGGGTGAGGTCCCCTGAGTGAGGGGAGAGCAAGGCAGGGGAGGGATGTTGAACCTCCCAGAGCAAGGCTTGTGAGGGGCAGGGGGAGGGAGGGGGGTTGAAACCCCTGGGTTGAGGCAAGCTAGGGTCAGAGGAACCCCCCTCCTCTGACCTTTGCTTGCCTTAACTCAGGGGTTTCAACCTTCTCTCTTGCCTCACTCGCCTTGCTCTGGGAGGTTCAGCCTCCTTCCCCTGCCTTGTCCTCACCTCACCCAGGTGGTTTCACCCCCCTCTACTGCTACTGTTGATGGTGGAGAGTGGTGGGGAGTGGAGTGCTGGTGGTACAGTGGAGGGAAGTGGAGAGGGGGTGAGCTCCCTGTGAGTGGTTCTTTAGTGACATTTGTGCAGATTGCATGTGTTACTGAATTGCATCCTAGTGGAAAAAAGTAGTTTCGATATTGTAAAAATTTCGAATATGTTGCCAAACGGAAGGTTTAGGCTTGAAATAATTAAATAGGCTCGTCATATCATTTTGTCCTAAATTAATCAAATCCAAATTTCAGAGGACGGAACGGAAGGATGACTCGACTCGACAGCGAGAACGGGAATCACCTGCAGGCCGAAGCAAGAGAGTTTTGCTCAATCCCGCGGAATCGCGCTTCGTTTTATTATCTCCACGTGGCATGTCTTTGATCGCGGGAACCGCGATCTGTTTTATTGTTCCCACAACTTTCAAGAGTAATCTAGTCAAGTTTAGTGGGTCACATGTACTGTGCTGCCCGCGGGCAAAAATAAACCCCTATAGGAAAGGCATGCGTTAGGGATGTATCAACCCCCTAAGGGGGTGTTACATTGCGCGCTGGTCCATTTACAAGGAAATGGACCAGCAAATGCAAGCGAGCACCATTTTAGAGGGATCACTTCCAAAAGTGGTCCCGCTTGGTACCGGGGATCATTTGCGGCGGACCAGCTATGCACAGTACATTGCAGCTTCGAAAACGAAGTGTTGACGAAAACAAAAGTGTACCTGGTCACGCTTGAACAAGATGTCGCAGAGAGCAGTTAATTTTGGCGAAAACATCGAAACGCAATTTTCGCATGCGATTCCCATCGCCTTGGGTCGCTCTGGAAATGGTCCCGCGTGTCGAGCATCGTTTTCGTATGTGCGCCTCGAACTGTACATGCTGGTCCATGGGTGGGTGCAAGTCGGGTCCACACCTGGGCCGTTCGCTGGTCCATGCTGGTCCGTGCTGGTCCACGCATATCCCCTGGGCCGCAGCGGCCCAGCACGGCCCAGCGTAGTTCTTGCGCACATGGCACACCCCCTAACGCATGCCAGGCCCGAATGGGTTTTATGTTTGCCCTCGGGCAGCGTAGTACATGTGACCCACTAAACTTAAGCCCAAGACCTGAATTACAAAAAGAGGAAGGCAAACTGTGCACAGTTTGCCTTCCGAACCCACAGTTGACTTCCCGAGCCAGGCTGGTTACCAGAAAACATTGCGCCAAAAAACACAGAGTCGTAGGGGAGAACAAGTATGGTTGGCGAGAGTCCCAACTGCTCCCTCCTGAAGGAACAACCGCTCAAAGTGTGCACAGTTTGCCTTCTTTCGTAATTCAGGTTGTGCTTGCACCGTTGCGTCCCCCACGCTTCTCCCCACCGTCTCTCACACAACCCCCGGAAAATAGTCACGTATTCATCACAAAAAAATCACATTTCTGTGACTTTCCGTCCTTGTCAAAACCGCGATGTCGCCAACGCTTTCCCCCACCTCTCACACTTTCCCCCACCGTCGCCCTAGCTTTCCGCCACCGTCGCTCACGCTTCCCCTTACCGCTGCTCACGCTCCCTCCTGCCTTCCCCCACGCTTCCCCACACCGTCGCTCGCGCCCTCCCCCACCTTCCCCCACCTTCCCTCACGCTTCCCCGCACATCGCCCACGCTTCCTCCCACCGTCGCCCACGCTTCCTCCCACCGTCGCACACGCTTCCTCCCACCGTCGCCCACGCTTCCTCCCACCGTCGCCCACGCTTCCTCCCACCGTCGCCCACGCTTCCCCCCACCGTCGCCCACGCTGCCTCCCACCGTCGCCCACGCTTCCTCCCACCGTCGCCCACGCTTTCCCCCACCGTCGCCCACGCTTCCTCTCACCGTCGCCCACGCTTTCCCCCACCGTCGCCCACGCTTCCTCCCACCGTCGCCCACGCTTCCTCCCACCGTCGCCCACGCTTCCCCCCACCGTCGCCCACGCTTCCCCGCACCGTCACCCACGCTTCCCCCCACCGTCGCCCATGGCAGGTGGTGGTGCGGCTGTGGAGCAGAGTGTTGGGCGCACACCCAGGGCAGCGCGTGCAGGCGGGCAGCAAGGAGTGCAGTGCTGCAGGGGGCGGGTTAGGGGATGCGGAGCGGGGGAGGCGGGGGTTAGGGAGAGAGGGTGCAGGGATCCTCCTATCCCCCTTATACCCTGCCACACTCTTACCTCCTGCCCTTCTCCCTTACTCCGTTCCGTGGGGCCCCCACAGTCGTCCTCCTCTCCCTCTTTCTTCCTCCCTTCCTCCATCTATCCCACACTCTCTGCCTCACTACCCTCTTTCCCCTTTCTGTTGCCCGTTCTCCCTCCCTTCCTCCCGCCCGCCCATCATCTCCCTAAACCCATCATCTCATCCGCCCATCATCTCATCCGCCCATCATCTCATCCGCCCATCATCTCATCCGCCCATCATCTCATCCGCCCATCATCTCATCCGCCCATCATCTCATCCGCCCATCATCTCATCCGCCCATCATCTCATCCGCCCATCATCTCATCCGCCCATCATCTCATCCGCCCATCATCTCATCCGCCCATCATCTCATCCGCCCATCATCTCATCCGCCCATCATCTCATCCGCCCATCATCTCATCCGCCCATCATCTCATCCGCCCATCATCTCATCCGCCCATCATCTCATCCGCCCATCATCTCATCCGCCCATCATCTCATCCGCCCATCATCTCATCCGCCCATCATCTCATCCGCCCATCATCTCATCCGCCCATCATCTCATCCGCCCATCATCTCATCCGCCCATCATCTCATCCGCCCATCATCTCATCCGCCCATCATCTCATCCGCCCATCCTCTCATCCGCCCATCCTCTCATCCGCCCATCATCTCATCCTCCTTTCCTCTCATCCTCCTTTCCTCTCATCCCCCTATCCTCTCATCCCCCTTTCTCTCATTCGGCCTTCATCCTCCCACCGTCGCCCACGCTTCCCCCCACCGTCGCCCAAGCTTCCCCATAATGTCGCGTACGCTCCCACCGTCGCTCACGCTTTCCCCCACCTTCCCCCACGTTTCTCATCGCCCACGCTTGCTCCCTCCGTCGCCCTCGCTGCCCCCCACTCTCCCTACACCCCCTCCCACCGTCACCCACGCTCCCCCCCACCCTTGTACCCTTCTTTCCTTCTCTCTGATTCTCCCTTCCCCCCGTTCCACCCTTATACCCTGCCACACTTTTACCCCCCTCACTTTCTCCCATCCGCCCTTCCTTCAAGCCTCCCTCCTCCCTACCACGCTCCCACCCACTCTTTCTTTCATCCTCCTGCCTCTCCACCCTACCGCCCTTTTTTTCAAGCTGCCACCTTCCGATCTTCCTATCCTCCGCCTTTCTGTCTGACCCACTTGCCTACTCCCTCCTTGAATTTCTCACATCCTCCCATCCACCCTTTCCCTTCCAAGCCTGTACACTCCTAGCCTGTTTGTATATTTCGATTGTTATTGTTTTGTACGGTATCCTTCCCAGCTGCTTCAACATATGACACACAAAATTTTGTGGTTCGTGTTTGTGCAGGTCTGCCATGCATCCAGTTGTGAAGTGTTTGTTGTTTGATGATAGTGGTATGACAAATAGGTAGCCATGCCATGTATTGATGCTTATGTTTCTATTAATAAAACATTCTCTGCTTCAGAGCAGCCATGCACACGGCCACTACAAAGAAGTTGAACAAAGCATAATAGTGTTTATACCGTATAAAAGTTGTCAACAATGGACTATAGGAACACAATCATCACATTCCTGTTGGGACTCATGGTGCTGGGCACCTGTTCATGGTTCTGTGATAGAACGGGAAGGGAAGAGGGCGTATGGCAGATAAGCGAGGGTTGGATGTGGACGGGGCAGAGGGGTGAGCAAAAGGGGAAAGAGAGTGAGCAGGGGGGAGAAGGGGTCGAGCAGGGGGGAAAGCCAGTAAGCAGGGGAAACCGAGGGGTCTGAACAGGGGAAATAAGAGTAGTGTGGGGAAAAATGGTTGAACGAAGGGGAATTGAGAGTAAACAGGGAGGAAAGGCGGGTGAGTCCAGGGGGAAAGAGAGTGAGCAGAAGGGGAGTGAGCAGGGGGGAAGACAGTGAGCAGGGGGGAAGGGAGTGGGCAGGGGGGAAGAGAGTGAGCAGGGGCGCAGAGTGAGCAGAGGGGGAGAGAGTGAGCAGGGGGGGAGAGAGTGAGCGGGGGGGGGAGGGAGTGAGCGGGGGGGAAGAGAGTGAGCAGAGGGGGAGAGAGTGAGCAGGGGGGAGAGAGAGTGAGCACGGGGGGAGAGTAAGCAGAGGGGGAGAGAGTGAGCAGGGGGGAAGAGAGTGAGCAGGGGGGAGAGAGTGAGCACGGGGGGAGAGTGAGCAGAGGGGGAGAGAATGAGCAGGGGGGGAGAGAGTGAGCACGGGGGGAGAGTGAGCAGAGGGGGAGAGAGTGAGCAGGGGGGGAGAGAGTGAGCGGGGGGGGAGGGAGTGAGCAGGGGGGGAGAGAGTGAGAGAGTGAGCAGCGGAAAGAGATTGAGGGGGGGAGAGATTGAGCAGGGGGGTAGAGAGAGAGTAGGGGAAAGAGATCGAGGGGGGAAGGGATTGAGCAGGGGGGTAGAGAGTGAGGCGAGGGGGAAAGAGAGGAGTGAGAATAGGGGGAAAGGGAGTGTACGTGAGAGAAGAGAGTGAAGGGAGGGGGAGAGAGTGAGCGGAGGGCAGAGCGTGAGCAGGAGAGAGTGAACGGCAATGGGAGGGGTAGTGAGCCCAACGGGCGGGAAGCGAGTGCGACTGGCGGGGAAGCGAGTGCGACGAGCGGGGGAAGCGAGAGCGACGGGCGGGGGAAGCGAGTGCGACGGGCGGGGAGTGCGACGAGCGGGGAGTGCAACGAGCGGGGGAAGCGAGTGCGACGGGCGGGAAGCGAGTGCGACTGGCGGAGAAGCGAGTGCGACTGGCGGGGAGTGCGACGAGCGGGGGAAGCGAGAGCGACGGGCGGGGGAAGCGAGTGCGACGGGCGGGGGAAGCGAGTGCGACAGGCGGGGGAAGCGAGAGCGAGGGGCAGGGGAAGGGAAGGCGCCGGGCGGGAGTAGCGAAGGCGACGGGCGGGAAATGCGATGGGGGAGGGGAAGTGAAGGCGACGGGGGAGTTGAAGTGAAGGCGACGGGGGAGGGGAAGTGAAGGCGACGGGGGAGGGGAAGTGAAGGCGACGGGGGAGGGGAAGTGAAGGCGACGGGGGAGGGGAAGTGAAGGCGACAGGCGTGGAAAGCGAGGGCGACGGGCGGAGCGAAGGCGACGGGCTGGGGTCGCGAAGGCATCGGAATGAGGTCTTGAAGGCGACGAGCTGGGAAAGCGATGGCGAATGAGATCGCCCTCGTGGGACCTTGGGAACGGAAAGCGACGGCGAGGAGAGGTTCACGCTTGGGCGAAGGGTCACGCTATTATTCCCCGCGAGTTTACGCATCAGTTGCACTGAACCTGCATTTCGACACCAGCGAACACTATCTTTGCGCGTCGTCATCGAAATTCGCGCCACACCCATTCGTAAGGCGCCTCTGATTCCCTGCTATCTCTACAGGTATGCTCTATGCCTAGTTATCTGCGTGCTATCTCAAAGTGTGCACAGTTCGGGATGGATGCCCTTTTCTGGTTGTTGTCACAACGACCCCACCCATCGCTCATATTCTTGTATGCGAGACTTCTTTTGTCGCAAATTGGTTTCGCGAGTGAAAGTGCTTCGCACCCCAACCGAACCTCCGTCTGCTTGACTTCCGAACCTATTTTTTCCCGTTGACTTCCATTGAGTAATTCAGGTCTTGGGCTTTAACTAAATAAAAATTGAAATGTGTGGGAACAATAAAACAGATCGCGGTTCCCGCGATCATAGGCAGGCCACGTGGCGATAATAAAACGAAGAGCGATTCCGCGGGAGTGAGTAAAATTCTCCCGAAGCAACCTTGGGAATGTTGCGACTTGACGCAGCGCTTCACAAGAAGGCAGAGTCGATTGCAAGAATCCTAGTAGTAGGCGTTTACCGCCGCCGTTTTTGCAGATCTCTGAAGCCACGTGTCAGTGTCATTCACATCCCCCATGTCTGGGTAGCTCGACGCAATTCAATCGCTAGTCGCATCACACTATCGTGTAGCGACCACGCTGTCAGCAGTCAGTCAGCGCGCTCGTCGGCTCGGCGCCTCCACTCGGCGCAGCGAGGCGCATGTCACGCCGGGAGCGGGCCCACGGCGGTATCCGCCTCCGCGCATTGCTTTCGTCGAAGCGTCGCGAGGGTCTCAGGGTCCCACCAGGAACGAGATAGGGAGAGAGCAATATAGTCTAGGATTTTGGTAGTGAGAGCGCGAGAGCGCGTGAGAGCGGGTGAGAGCGAAAGAGGGATTGTAACGGAGAGTCGTCGGGCATGTCGCGTCCGGGGGTGAAGCAGCTCGGCGCGCATCCGCCGAACGCGCTGGTGGCGGCGGCCGCGGCGCTGCTGGCGGCGGGGCTGCTGCTGCTCGCCGTGCTGCGCGCTGATGTCCTCCCCGCCGCGCACCCCTCGCGCTTCGAGCCGCAGCGCCCGCGCCTCAAAGTGTTCCTCGCGGCGCTGCCGGCGGCATTCAACTTCCGCCTGCTCAAGGTGCGCGCGCGCGCCCCTTCTCCCCTTGAGGAGTCCTTCCCCCTGCCTCCTCCCCCCTTCCCGCGCCTCATACCTGCGCCTCTCGCTATCCCTCCGACACACCCCTGTTCCGCTGTCTCGCTACCCCTCTCTAACGTATCCGACATTGATTTTCCCTGTCAATCGCACGATGTCGTGTATGTGTGCCTGCAGGGGGAATGGATGAGGGACCACCGCGTGCAGCTGCTGACTCAGCACGGCATGCCGCCAGCGTGGGACCTCACCCGCCCCGCGGCCGACTCAGCCTCCTCCGCCACCAACCCATCCGACACCTTAGCTGACGTGGAGGCGCGGTATTGGTCGAAACGGCGATCGCACGCACTGGTGCCGTCGTTCCCAGCAGTGCCATTCGCAGCGGAGCACAGCGCCGAGTACTGGCTCACGCTCTCCCTGCTCTCAGGCACGGCTCCCTCTGTCCACCTTGTGTCGCACGCTCGCGACGCGGACGTGGTGTTCCTGCCGGTCTTCTCCTCGCTGCTGGCCTTTAGCTTCAATGCGACGCCCACCAACCCTGCTGCTCTGCTGCTGGCGTTGAAACCACCTGACGGGACACCTGAGGTGTCTGGAGCACCTGACGCAGCAGCAGCAGCAGGGAGGTTAGCTCCTGTGTTCATGAAGCCGCATCTGAGCGAGGAATTCAGGTGTGCGCTGCTGACTTGGCTGCTGATCTGCATTGTATTTTGTAAACCGTGTGAACATCTCATGGGGCTCAAGATGCCCATGGCATGCGGCCTACTTTACTTCCTTTCCTTCTCTCACGCTCATTGCAGCCCTCTTTCCGACGTCCCTCACCTGGCCTCTTTTGTCCACTCTCGCATTCTCTTTCCTGCAGTCATCTCCTCGATAACCTCGCCAAATGGCTGCATGCTCTAACCGCCAGCGTCAGCGGCAGCACTAGCAGTGGAGGTAGGGCAAGGGCGCAGCCGCGAGTGGTGCTGCCAGTGAGCATGCCGCGTGCTCTGCCTGCCTTCCACGCCCTCCTCCCCTCCCTCTGCACCCTCACCACCGACTTCTCCTTCTCGCCGCTGCAGGTATGCCTGCCCGCCCCGCCAACTGTCGGCTTAAAACGTTTGTGTACTTCGATGTTGCATTTATTTGTTTGTGTGTGCCTATCCATGCTTGTTCGATTGGATGCAGGATGTGAATTTCATGAAGGATGTGATTATACCGTATGCGCCAATAGTGGAGCCTTATCTGGACGACCCTGGTCGCTGGTCTGATCGCACGACTTTGCTTTATTTCCGCGGATCTACAGAGGTCTTCAATAATGTGAGTCAGGGACAGAAAAGCACATCAAGGCCACCAATGTTCATTGATCAGTCTCCTACCACCATCAATGTTCACGGATTAGTCTCCTACTGCAAGCAGTGTTCACGGATTAGTCTCCCGCTACCACCAATGTTCACGGATTAGTCTCCCGCTACCACCAATGTTCACTGATTAGTCTTCCGCTACCACCAATGTTCACGGATTAGTCTCCCGCTACCACCAATGTTCACGGATTAGTCTCCCACTACCACCAATGTTCACGGATTAGTCTCCTACAACCAGCAGTGTTCAATGATCCGTCTCCTACCACCAGCAATGTTCACTGGATAGTCTCCTACTACCACCAATGTTCACTTGTCAGTCTCCTACCACCAGCAATGTTCATTGATCAGTCTCACCATGAATATTCACTGAGCAGTCTGCTACTAACAGCAATGTTCACCGATCCGTCTATTAGTGCCAGCAGTGTCCATTTTCCGGTATCAGTTTCCTACTGTAAGCAATTTTCACTGATGAGTAATTTACTGGCACCAACATATCCTCTCGGGTTTTTTTCTCTCCTTTCTTATTCTACGTCCCTCCGTTTTCAGGGCAGGGAACTGCGGCGAAGCTTGGCAAAGCTGTTTGAAGCCCCCCAGTGGAAGCAAGGAGTGGTGTTTGAGGCAGTGGAGCGGAGGGATGAGAGCGAGGTGACCGTGGAGGACGTGCAGGCCATGCAGCATGCCATGCGCCGCAGCCGCTTCTGCCTCGTGCCTGAAGGTGCTGTCCATGCAGCTCGTACTTATGATGGCACGCATCCATGTGGTTGCCATGTGTATGCTCACATTCTAGGTAGCATTTCAAGAATCACCCTTCGGTACACCCCCCGCTACACATCAGCAAACAGTTACCATTTCTCCCCACATGCATCAATTCAGGCAACACGGTGTCTTCCTCGCGCCTCTTTAACGCGATGGTGAGCGGGTGCATCCCAGTGGTGGTGAGCGACAGCATCCTGCTGCCCTTCGAAGACCTCATTGACTTCACTCGCTTCGCCCTCTTCCTGCCCTCCCACCTCCCAAATTTTCCTGCATACATCCCCATGTGCAGGCAACACGGTGTCATCTTCACGCCTCTTCAACGCGGTGGTGAGCGGGTGCATCCCAGTGGTGGTGAGCGACAGCATCCTGCTGCCGTTCGAAGACCTCATTGACTACTCGCGCTTCGCCCTCTTCGTGCCCTCGCACCTCGCCACGCGCTCCGGCTACCTGGCGTCCGTACTGCGCGTGGACGAGAGCAAGTGGAGGGCCATGTGGGAGGAGATGCGGCAGGTAACCCTCTCATTCTTGCATTTAACTGTCTCGCTCTTGCATGGTAACTGTCTGATTTCTGCATGCTAACCATCTCGCTGGCCTAGAGGGTTACTTATTTTCCCTCTTGCGGTTCAGAAAGCAGAAACAGCTGGAAAGGACTTGACATTGCAAGCGCTGTTACACTTCAGCTCTGCTCTTCACCCCCATTTCCCACTTGGCCCTCCTCCCACATTCCGTCCCCCCTTTCCCGTTATCCCTTGCCCCGGTGACACCAGGTGCAGCGGCATTTCATATTCAGCAGCCCGGCAGTGGAGGGTGGTGCGGAGGACATGGTGTGGCAGGCACTGCTGCGCAAGCAGGCCAGGGAGGCTGCTGCGAGGGAGAGAGCCGCATGGCAGGGGGGGCACGTGGGAACCGAGGGAGGGGGAAACCAGGGCGGGGGGAACCAGGGAGGGGGGAAGGTGGCAGGGGGAGGCGGGGCAGGGAGAGACGGGGCGGGGTCGGGGGGAGGTGAGGTGGGGGTGATGGATGAGAGCATGCTTCCGGAGTTCATGGTGCGGCGCCATAGGATGATGACAGGCATGCTGGCTGCTGTGGGGCTCAACAGTAGTGCTTGGCGGGTGAGGGAGCGAGGGGACTTCACTGCTAGGCAGATGGCGGAGGAGAGAATAGGTGGAGGCAGGACTAGGCGTGACTAGCATGGGAGGAGTTAGGAACGGTGTACAGTACAGGTAAGGAGCTGCATAAATGAACTTGAAATATAGGAGCTCTATAATAAAACCCAAGCTGGAACAACAGACAGTTTCTAACTCATTCCCCCTCTCCTAATGAATACTGATGTAACAACATTCTAGACTGATCATGGCACAAGCAGTGCAATTCGGGCTGTCCATGCCATGGCAAGTCACAGCCCATGCCGTCTCATCTGCCATCTATCTATGAGGTTACCATGACGCCTCGCATGCCCCCCTGAACCGTGTTGGCATGTACATGTTCCACTGAAGCGTATCATCTCATCTCCCGCACAGCCGTGTCATGTGCCGAGTCAGCAAAGCAGGATCCCGAATCACCATGTCACTCAAACCGGGGTACGCAGCACGAGCCCTCCTCCCTCCATCGCCGCTCATACTCCCATCTCCGCCAAACCCGGCGGACGAAGCGTCTCCATTCTCTCCACTCTTGCCGATCTCGCCTCTCTCCCCCTCAACCTCTTGCCACGCGCGCCACCCTGTCCGCGACAGCAGCCGCTGCACGAGCAGTAATTCGCACGCCAGCACGAGCACCGCCGCCGCCGCCTCTATCGCGAGCACCCACGCGAATCGCATGGCGGGGAGTGTGTGAGTGTGCGTGCGATGCTCCGCGGGGGCCTGCTAATGTAGGCGGAAGAGACGCGGGAACTAAAGGGGGCGCTCCAAACGGCGGGGCTAGCCGGGACGGAGGCAGATCTGACTTTCGCAGCAACAGATTTGAGGCTCGGAACTCGAGAGTTTTCAGGTGGTTGATGTTGAGATTGAGAGAAGCTGGTGCCGTTGATGAAGAACGCGATGGCTCAACAAAGCCGTGACGCCCACCCCCGGCGTCGAGGGTATCGCGGGTCTCGCGGGTATCGAGGCCATGACGGCTCCTACAGGTACAATGTCGCCTCACGTTGCACCAGTCCGGGCAGCGCGCGCGATTTGCAAGAATGCAGTGACACGCGCGGTTCTATCTGTGAGTCCGTTGGAAAACTTGAAAGGCGGATTTTCCAAGGCTCTCTGGTCACTATCGAGGTGGAAAGAGTAGGCCAAACTTGTACCCGATATGAGCACCTCTTTGTTCCAATAAGCAGCGACGATGCAAATTGGTTTCCAGCGAGCTGGAGTACAGACTCATTTATCCAAGCAGTTACTCATTAATACATGTGTATGTGTTGACAAGATTCTTAGGTACCTTACCGTACCATTATCATCCTTGCAGAACGCATTTCACTAAAAAAAAAAACGTTGCATTGAGTGAGCTGCTACAACTCTGGTTGCAGTTACCCTACACAGGGTTGGCCCTAGATTCTAACAGAACCTCTGATTGAAGGGCAACTGCAATCAGAAATGCACAAGGAAACGCAACCTAGCCTAAGCACAATAAAATGTTGGAAATCCAAAGTGAAGTGGCAGGCTCTATGCCATATACACCACATCCACGCTGGTATATGCTCCAACTATAGCACGTGTAGGTGAAAGGGACGGGAGGAGATGGAGGGGAGGAAGAAAGAAGGGAATGGAGCGGGGAGAGAGAACCCATGCGAAAATGGCTGGCTCCCTTCAATGCCTCGCTCACAATCTAAACTACCCAGACTTCCCTCCGCTGCCCTTCCTCCTCCTATTATTGGTGCAGCACACACCACTGCTGCCAAACATACCCATCTTCTTCGAAAGCCCTCCTCTGCAACCCCATGGTACGTCCCCTATGTGTGTGCAACCAGGTGGGGTAGACTTGTGCCACCCAGCTGCTTATTCTTGCCTCAGCAGACACATCCAGTTGATCGGCAAAACTGCTGCCTTACGACCAGCAAATCTGAAACCCTAAGCACGAATTCCTTCACCTGTGACGCCGCTCACCCATTGACGCGCCTCAGCTCTGCTGCTTGGCTCATCCGCACCACATCCCTTCACGCCATAAACATGCTTCCCAGGTGGCTGTCTGAACGACCACACTGGCTCCTCTCTCCCCTGTGGAAGGGCGCTGAGAGGACCGAACCCTGAGACGCACTCACTACCCGCTTCACGAGACCGTTAGGGTTTGGAGGGCCCCGCTTCCAGCGCCTGGCGCTTCTCCGCGCGCATGGCGGCGATGGCCTGGCGGACGGCCGCCTCGATGCTGGCGGGCTCAGCCATGGCTCCCGTGCCCACGTCCCCGCACGCCAGGCGCTTGCTCACCGGCGACACCAGCTCCGCGCCCAGCCCCTCCAGGATCGCCACGTGGCGAGCCGTGAATGGCGACGTCCACATGTGCGTGTTCATGGCGGGCGCGAGCAGCAGCGGCTTGCCGAAGTCCCACGCGCGCACGATGGACGTCAGCAGGTTGTCGCAGATTCCGCTCGCCACCTGACGCCGTGCGCGCGACGGGGAGTGGGTGGACGAAAGGGAGGAGACGGAAGGGCGGGGGGTGGTGGGAAGGGTGCGAGAGGCGGGAAAATGGGTGGAGAATCAGGCGGCAAAAAGGGGGGAATCGGAGGATGGGGAACTGCGAGGAAATGGGGAGTTGTGAGGAACTGAGGGCGAAATGTTGGGAAACGGCAGGCTTGGATCAAAGCCGCAAGCTGCCTTGTAGCATGCGACAATTCGCGTGCTTGGATCGCTCGTCGCATGTCACGAAGAACCACTTGGCGACGTTAGATCGCGCGGTCAGGCGAGGCGGGTCACCTTAGCGAGAGTGTTGGCGGAGAGCGGCGCGATGACCATGACGTCAGCCCACTTGCGCACCTCGATATGCAGCACCGAGTCGCCCAGGCGGTTCCACTGCCGCCACTCGTCCTCGTCCGTGAAAAGCGGCATCTCCACGGGCAGCGCGGGCCGGTCGAGGAAGTGCAGCGCGGAGCGCGTGCTCACGGCGCGCACCTCCGCCCACTCCACCAGCCCGCGCGCCACGATGTGGAACTTGATCGCCGCCACGCTCCCGCTCGCCGCCAGCAGCACGCGCGGGCGCCGCCCCAGCGCCTGCTGGAGCGGGGAGATGCCCCGCGTGGGGCGCGGAACGGCGGGCGCGTGACTGCCTTCGGGGGGGCTTCCGCTCTCCAGCTGCGGAGGGACCGGCGGAGGCTCTGGCTGGGGGGAGCTTTGCTGCGCGGAGACAGTCGGCGGGGGCTGCATGGTGGGAATTGAGACAGCCGCAGCGCCTGCTGAAGAGTCCGGAGGCGGGTGATCCCCTTGGGAGAATTGCTGCGGCGGAGTAGAAGAATATCCTGGCGGTCTAATCGGAAGCATGTTTAAGTCGTGGATCCGAGAAAAGAAGTGCTTTTCTATCTCACATGAAACCGTGGATCCGCGTTCGCCATGTAGTCGAAAACATCTCCCAATTGCCCATGAAAGGACGCATGGCTGTTATCGATATGATAAATTCCGCATGCCCTCAGTTCGATCCGTTTACAGGGAATGCTAGCTCCAGCTTCAGGAAGAAAGGACGACTTTGATAGCGAATGCAGGACAGGGAAACAGGACAATTCCAAGGTGGAAATGTGGATTGTTGGACCAAAAACAGACATAACAAGCCATGTGTGCAGGTGGTTTTGCACCTGCGGTGGACTGGACAGGCGTGGAGAGGAGACGGGGATGAAATAGCCAGGGGCGGGGAAGGTTTCGCAACGCAAGTTCGTCAAAGAAGTGCAATCGTCGTGAATTGTGAATCGTGCATTGTGGTTCACATAATTGGTCACCTGCGGACCGGATGGAAGTTCAGAGAGGCGAACCAGTCCAAATTCACACAAACAAGGCGGTCAGTACTTGCCGCCAGAGGAGTCCCCGATTGGTCCGGGCTGGCTGGAAAAGGAAGGGAAATTCGGCGGTACAGTACAAGGACGACGAATTTCGTTGCGACCGCCGAAACGAATTTGGATCGCTTCGTTTTGTGCAGAACGTCTCATTGGCGGACAATGCACGAGGGAACGCATCGAATCAGGCGGCGTGTGAACTAATCTCGGAAACTGGTGAAGCTGCAAATTTTCTGGCGAACAAAAAGGACCCGCCAGACCGCATTTGCTCAAGCCGGTGACAAAAGCTACACTTTTGTGGGCCACGCCACTGGAACAGTTGCCATGCTTGGCACTAGGGGGCTGTTCGACAGGCAGCCATCTCCTTGCAGTGCTAGGGTTAGGCTAGAGCTAAGAGGTGATTTCGATGTAACTTCCCCTAGGCTAACCCCCCCCCCCCACGAAATCGGAAGCCGCGCCTCCGGAGGGCGGAAGGAGGGGAACGTCGTGGCGATGTTGCCACCCCACCTTCCACCATTGTCATCGTGGGCAGGGTCCAAAAGTTAGCACCGCCCGGCATGGAAACCTGGGTAAATCATGGGGAAAAAAAAAACCCACACAACCCTCACGCGTCCAACGGTTGCGAAGGCACGTGAGTTGGAGAAAGCACAACCTCAACCTACTCAAGCTAGGGTTTCATTTCGATAGCTCTATGGCCACCAATCCCCTTGACCTACGACTTAGTGGGCAACCCAGAATTAAGCGACGTAAGACTGACGTCAAAACTCTAATTACAAAATCCACATGTAAATTTATTTCGGAAATATGGGTATCAACGATGCTCTGGTTTGTTAAAAAAAGCGCCAGCTACTACATTACCGAGCCAAAGCATGTCCTATCTATAGGGGGGCCAGCCTACGCACGTCACTTACTCCAAGGTCATCCGGGCCGCGTGCGCGAAGTCATGCGTATGGAGCCCTACCTCGTGACACGTTTGCTAGGCATTCTCGTCGACCGCGGTCTTCTGACACCCGGGAAAAGCGTCCCTGTAGACGAGCAGCTACTGACGTTTCTGCAGTTCATAGGACAGTCTGCTACAAATAGAATGATGCAGGAGACGTGGCAACGAAGCGCCAGCCGGGTCAGTCAAACAATCCATGATGTCGCCTGGGCCATATGCGGCCTCTATGACGAGTACATCCACCTCCCATCGCAGGCAGACAATGAGTTCCTGGACAGCAGCCCTAAATATAACCATTTCCATGGTGCCTTAGGTGCGATAGACGGCACTCTGATACCCGCATGCATACGCGAGAGCGAGCAGCAGTCGTTCATGGACCGTAAGAAGGGTGTGTCGCAGAACGTGCTTGCTGCAGTGTCATTCAATGACGAGTTCATATACCTCATGGTCGGGTCCGAGGGGTCCACGCACGACTCCACTCTCTTCCAGGACGCCGTCCAACTTGGGTTGCGGTTGCCCAGGGGCACCTTTCTCCTTGCTGACTCTGGGTTCCGCAATGACAGCCACCTCCTTGCTCCCTACAGGTCCACTATGTACCACCTCCGCCGATGGCAGGAATCAGGGTTCACGCCACAGAACAAGAAAGAGTTGTTCAACCGCACTCACTCATCATTGAGATCACATGTGGAATGTGCATTCGGACAAGTGAAGGCACGATTTCCAATCCTAAAGGTGATGCGTCCATATTCGTTTGCGCTGCAGTGCTCTTTTGTGCAGGCCTGCTGCATTCTGCACAACTACATAAAAAGGAATGGGGGCTCTGAGTTTCTGGATGGTGAAGACGGGCCTGATTGCGGCATTCAAGATGAAGAGCAGGGGGACATCCAAGATGGGGAGTATGGCGGCAATGGTACAGCTAGGGAACCATTCAGTGTGCGCGAGTCAGCTAGGATTGGTGCCCGTAGGCGTGATGCTATAGCTGATGCATTGTGGGCTGAGTTTGGACAGTAATCAAAACGGGTTTCCCTAAAAATTGACAAGCATTTAATAGTATTTTATGTATTGGAGTACGGTGCCAAAACCTGCCAAATGCAGGCAGCCCCGAGACCCTACACACTTGGGCCAGGTGCGCTGTCGGACGAAAAGCTCTCCCGCAGGCGCTTCTGCACATAAGCCTGGCGGGTATCTTCCTTCATGTGAAGGAATCCGGCTGCCTCGACGGGATTCTTGAAGAAGTTGCAGGCGACTTCCACATGCGATTCGGCAGACAGTCCCGCCATCGCGTCAACTTCCTCGACAGCCCTCTCTACGGTTGGGTACTCATCTGGTAGCGGGGGATAGAAGGGCAGGGGAGGGTATGGCGGGGCAACGCAGGACATGGTGGGCTGTGCATGCTATGGGCATGGGTGTGAGATCTTACCTGCATTGAAGGGGAGGGTGTGAGCTCTTACCTATAGGGAAGGGGAGGGTGTGAGCTCTTACCTGCAGGGAAGGGGAGTGTGTGCGCTCTTACCTGCAGTGAAGGGGAGGGTGTGAGATCTTAACTGCATTGAAGGGGAGGGTGTGAGCTCTTACCTGCAGGGAAGGGGAGTGTGTGAGCTCTTACCTGCAGTGAAGGGGAGGGTGTGAGTTCTTACCTGCAGTCAAGGGGAATGCGAAGCAAGGAGCTGCATAGCAGGGGAGCTCTTACCTGCAGTGAAGGGGAGGGTGTGAGCTCTTACCTGCAGGGAAGGGGAGGGTGTGAGCTCTTACCTGCAGTGAAGGGGAGAGTTTGAGCTCGCACCTGCAGATAAGGGGAGGGCGGGAGTTAACACCTGTAGTGAAGGGGAGGGCGGGAGTTAACACCTGTAGTGAAGGGGTGGGCGGGAGTTAACACCTGTAATGAAGGGGAGGGCGGGAGTTAACACCTGTAGTGAGGGGGAGGGCGGGAGTTAACACCTGTAGTGAAGGGGTGGGCGGGAGTTAACACCTGTAGTGAAGGGGAGGGCGGGAATTAACACCTGTAGTGAAGGGGAGGGCGGGAGTTATCACCTGCAGGGTGGGGGAGGGCTGAGGCCTTACCCGCAGAGTGTTCACCGGCTTAGCGGAGAAGGGGGGGGCTTGAGCTTTCACCGGCCGAGCGGAGAAGGGCGGAGAAGGGCGGAGTAAGGAGCTGCATAGTAGGGATGGGCGGGAGTGCTCACCTTTGATCACATGCGAAATACCGTGCTCCGCGACGGTTGTCAGCGCCTCCAGTCCGCGCGCTACACGGCCCGCCTCACTCCTCGAGCGACGTCTGTTGGAGGTGCTGGGCGAAGAGGTGGGCTGTTCGCGACCACCAGAGCCACTTGTGGTCCGCCTGCGACTCTGGCGCCTACCTCCCGGACCGCCTGATGTACCCGATTGCGGACTACGGGGATCATTGGCCGCGGCAGTGTGCTGGCCCCTGGGGGGTGAACGTTCGACCGATGTACGACCCTGCGATGCGGACGCGCCGCCAGCTGTGCCGTCTGCATTCTGCTGCCCGTTGTCCGCGGTGCCTTGTGGTGCGTGCCCAACAGTTTCAGCTTGGGCGGATGGGGGATTGTCGGTGTTCATCCCCAACCCGTGATCGTTATCCGTGCCGGGATCGTCATGGAACACCCTGGGTCGATTCCGCCCTGCTGCTGCCCATCGACCACGCCGGCCGCCCATGCTCACCAGCTGTTCGGCCACGGGCAGCCAGGGTGCTGTACGCGTAGTCCACTTAGCCCACCTGGGCCATCGCTGGTCCCCCTGGAGCAGCGCCACGATCTGCGGAGCGGGAGCAGGTGGGGAAAACACCACATTATTGAGAAGAGGCGCACGGGCTTGCTTTCTATAATTTGTGGCGGTACGGCGAAGCGGGCTAGCTGTAACGTGTTTGAACATACCTGTTCGTCAGGATTGAAGGGCTCGACTGCAGGGTTCCAAGGAACACCGGAGGGGCAGAGACGCAAAATGGTTTTGATGTCACGAACTCACCCTTTCACATTTTTAAGGTGGTTATGTAACTGCTCCTTAGTCAAACCGAGTTCTCCGTGAGTCACGTTCCATTTCGCCAATATGTCGGACCAATGGGTGACGTTGGCGTGCGTCACCAGGCCGTTCTCTAGCTGCGTCTCAAGGATAATGTCCATTAGTTCACTGGTGAGTGTCTCATCCCACACGAAACGGCCAGTTTCTACCGTCTCACTCTCGAATACTACTGCCGTCGGTTCTTCATCACCGTCCGACGCTTCTGAAAACGCCGTTCCGGTGGCGGCGTTAGCGTCGACTACGGGGGCTGCCCTGGCGCGATCACCCTGCTGATGTACATTGTTGGTAGTCGTCGTACCAGCACTGCTTGGCGCCCATGGCTCGGGAGCGGAGGAGGTAGATCGACTCGGAGGAGGGCGTTCAGTGGCCTCTCTTAAGGCTGAAAGGAGGCGCTCCCTATCCATGGTGGTCGCGCTGGCTAGACTAGAGCAACGGGAAGAAATTGGAGTAGTGAGAGTCGCGTGACTTGTGACTGGTTTGGTTGTGGGAGGCGGGGTCTTTTTCAGGGCAGAGATAGGGATGGTTGGAGCATGGGTCCTGGGGGAAAGGTTTTCGTGGGGTATGGGGTGGGTATTCCCTTCCTTTCGGAACTCTAGCCTATCCCTTGGCCAACCTCCGTCTTGGGGAGGTGAGGGCTGGGCTAGAGCTAGGCTCGTCCCTGTGCGTGTGAGAAGCCTCGCGGTGCTTTCGAGGGGGCTGAAGTTGAGGGGCTAAAGCAGCGTTCGACAGGCTAACCCTAACCCTTAGGGATCCAGAGCGTTAAAGCCCTGTGAAACCAAATTACGGGCTGACCGTGGGAAAAAACCCAAAGTCGAAACAGCTGAGATGATTCCGCGGAAGGGCTTGCATGCCTGTCGAACAGCCCCTAGACGCGACGCCGCACCAGGATGTGGTGGAGTGCTTCGCCCGCCCGTGATCAAGGCCTGGAATTGCTGCCCAGCAGTGCATGTGACTCGATGCCGCCACATCACACTCTTGGATAAAGGTGGTGTTCTCTAGGCACTGGTGGAGGGGGGTGAGGGGATATAGGAATCTTCCCCTCTCTGCGATTTTTGGGTCTACACGACGGTCAGCCCGTAAAACCGTGCCGAGCCATCTATTTGCCAACAGAACGCTCATTTACCCTCAGGGATGCGCACCCATTGGAAGCTGCACATTTACCCTCCCCACCTTCCTCCTCAGGCAATTTTTGCCTCCCTCGCTTTGCCTTCCGGCAACCACACTTCACGGGGAAGTGAGACAGCCAGGGAAGAGAGGAGCTGGGGGAGGGAACACCGAAATGTTACCCGTGAAACTAGAGACTGCTGGACTGCTTAGCCCAAACACGCGCGCAAGAATCAGGAAAAAAAGAACCACGCAGCCTTCTCTGTGCACGAAGTGCAAATCCTAGTGCTACTCAGGGTGCGTTCCTGGCTCGTGTCAAACTTCCGGTCTTCCGGGGATGACACGAAGCTGGCCCCACTTCGGGTCATCCGAGACCAACTTCGGGTCTTCCCCCTAAATTCTGCCTCTGTTTTTGGAAGACTCAAAGTTTAACAGGAAGTTTGACCTAAACCTTCGGGTCTTCCCGGGGAAGACCGGAAGTTTGACACGAGCCAGGAACTCACCCTCACAACTCCCTCGCCACTCACTTTTTTCGAGGTAGAGACACCCAGGTCTTTGTTTCTAACCCTTCTTGCCATTTAGCGCCAATAGCGATACCCCCGTTTCTGGATCACGAAAATGTACCCACAGGTTCTTCATTTACCGTCAGAGCCTTCCCCCCCTCGCGCCCGAAATTTCCCATCTTCGGTTGTAGCGGGAGGGGGTGAAATCCAGCCCCGAAACACCCTCGGAACCATCATCATTTACGTTCGCCCCCCCTCCTCCCCCCTCCGCCACTGCCTAGAGAACACCACCAAAATCTCCATGCTCTTGCCATTTCCAATGCGATTGCTGACTTTATACCCGACCATTATAGAAGAATGTCTTACAATTCTCAATCGGAATTCTTTGTAGATGGTGCACCTTTACAATCAACCCACAAGCGTCACGAATCACGGTTCCTGGCTGACTGACACCCATTTCCTGCCACAAAACTCTCTCTCTCTCTCTTTTCTGTCTCCAGCGCTTGACCATTTTGCTAGTTTCTGTTCCTCCCAACCTCATCCCTGTGTCCCTAAGGCTTGTTTAAAGCCCAAGACCTGAATTACTCAACGGAAGTCAACGCTAAAAAACTAGGTTCGGAAGAGGTTCGGTTTGGTTGCAAAACCCTTTCACTCGCGAAACCAGTTTGCGACAAAGTTGTGTCGCTTGGAAGAAGACCTGTGATGAATGGTGTGCTTTTCACAACCAGAGTTGAGCGTGCCTACCAAACTGTGCACACTTTGACAATCCTAGCAGCAGACTAAAACTAGGCATAATATAGAATACGTGTAGGCAGGGCGTAGCCGTTGACTCTAGAGCTTACAAGGCGCGATGCGATGGTGTATGGTGCGGAATGTGAGTTCGAAACGTAAGGATATTGAGCGGCGTGCGATGAGATATGGTGTAAAAATGCAGGTTTCGCATAACCCTCACGTTCGGCCAAGCGTAACCATCCCTCGCCCTCGCTTTCCTTCACCCGGGTCCCACGCTTCCTCTGTCCATCGCCCGCGTCGTCGCCTTCGCTTCCGAAGCCCATCGCATTCGAGGCCCCATCCCGTCGCCTTCGCTTCCCCCGCCCGTCGCCGCCTTCGCTTTCGGATGACCGTTGCCTTCTCTTATCCCGCCCGTCGCCTTCGCTTCTCCCCCCCCGTCGCCTTCGATTTCCCCGCGCGTCGCCTTCGCTTCCCCCGCGCGGAGCCTTCGCTTCCCCCGCGCGGAGCCTTCGCTTCCCCCGCGCGGAGCCTTCGCTTCCCCCGCGCGGAGCCTTCGCTTCCCCTCGCGGAGCCTTCGCTTCCCCCGCGCGGAGCCTTCGCTTCCCCCGCGCGGAACCTTCGCTTCCCCGCGCGGAGCCTTCGCTTCCCCCGCGCGGAGCCTTCGCTTCCCCCGCGCGGAGCCTTCGCTTCCCCGCGCGGAGCCTTCGCTTCCCCCGCGCGGAGCCTTCGCTTCCCCCGCACGGAGCTTGGGGAGGGAGGAGCGGGCAGTGATGCTGGACAGCTTCCCCGAGGACGAGGCGCGCCTGGGGGGGGACAGGCGGGGGAGGGAGGGGGAGAGGGAGGGCACGCGGTGGGGGGCCGGGGAGTGTTGGAGCGGAGTGAGAGCTACGACTCTCTGCTGTCAGACATCAGCCGCGTCAGCTCCCTCGCTGAGAGGCGGAGGAGGAGGCGGAGGGGGAGGGGGAGGGGGAGTGGGAGGCGCGCTAGCCATGCCCTTGCTCGTGGGCATGGGCACGGGTGGCGGTGGTGCGATGGAGGGTGCATCGGGAGCGTACTAGGCGACGGAGGGGAGCAGCAGCATGGGCGCCGGTGGTGCGTCGTCGGGTGCGCTCCTTGCAGTGCAAGGCATGACCGCGATCGACCGTTTGATTACCTATTATCGAGCTCGGAGAGGAGATGCATGCGCCGCAAACTGTCGTTTGCGCGGTCGCGCAGGGTTTCGACGACGACGCTGAGTAAAAAGCGGCGCCATCGCATAGAATCTGTTTGGTGTTTTTTTTTTTTCCGGTGGATTGGGCTCCAGCTCTATTGGCTTTCTGCTCTACCTAGGAGTTTCACGTGGCTACTATGTGGTCGAGCATGACCTGAATTACAACAATTTCCAATCTGTACACAGCTTGCCTTGCCCTACTCCTTCAGGAGGGAGCGGTTGGGACTCTCGCCAACCAATTTTGGGCTGCTCTACGACTCTCTGCTGTTTTGCGGAGCGTCATTTGGTAACCAGAGAGGCTCGGGAAGTCAACTATGGGCTCGGAAGGCAAACTGTGCACAGTTTGCCTTCCTTTTTTTGTAATTCAGGTCTTGGGCTTTAATCCTGCTGACAATTCTCTCTGCAGGATGGCCTCACTACACCACCATTCCCTCCTTTCGATGGTGCTCCTGGTGGACCTCCTTACCTCCTCCCGTCTGAGGCAGCTAATCGAATTTCGCTCTACTCCGGTTTTTTAAACTTGTCGTACATCGGTTCTTCCTAGGTGACGAGCCCGAAACTTGTCGTTCTTCCATCACGCTCGAAATTCATTCGTCGAGATCGCCTAGTTCTTCGGTGCCTAGGCTTCGGATAGTGTTTCTGTGACGATTACGAGCTGCATTTTGCCGCTGGCGGATACGGCATGGTGAGTGCAAGGGAATAGGCCCTGGGGAGTTTAGTAGGTGTCGTAGGCAGCGCAGGGTAGAAATAGGATTTCTGTGCCTTTTTCTGTATGTTCGTCGTGTGTGCTCTCTTCGTGTGCGTGTTTGTCATGAGTGTTAGTGAGGTAATCAAGCAGCTTCTGCCCAACGGCGTGATGAAGCTTCTCTTTGTTGACTTCTGAGTGAAATCAAAAGTCAACTCGTCGTGAAGCTTCTCGCCTATGAAGCTGCTGTTGGAGCGGCTCAGTGAGTAGGAGGTAAACGTGTTAAAGCTCCGGTATACATTTGACAGTAGGGGTTCAAAATCCTTAGGAACTTGAAAAGTTGCCCCAAAACTGTGAGGCACACTCACAAACCCGAAACCCCGCTGACAAATGTATATTGCCGCTTTAAGGGGGTGAGCAGATCTCTAGGCAGCGCGGCGCTGACCAGCAAGGGTTCGATTGATTCAGCTCCGAGTGTTTGTCTTTTCGTCGCTCTTCCTGACACTATATTCCGCATTTGCAATTGTATGCGCGTGTGCGTGCGAGAGGCAAGGACGCACTGAGCCACGCACGCTCCTTGGGCTCCTCGTGAAGACTTGAGCTCGTCTGCCGCTGCCGGGATGACAGCACAACGAGGGTAACCAAGGGATGCCTCACACATTTCCCTGTGCATCGTTTTGCACTCCAGTGCTTTCTGTAGCCTCGTGTCAATCCTAGCATTCCAGTGTCTTCATCAACTCGGCTCACGTCTTCTTTTACTCCTCACCATTCCTTCTTCACTCCTCGACATTCCCTCTTCACTCCTCTCCATTTGTCTCCACACCTCGTCATTCCGTGCCCAGGCGAACCTCCCTGCCTGCCATTTTTTTCTAGTGCAGGTGTAGGTGCAGTGCTGGAGCCATGAAAGTAAGCTTTATTGCAGAGAGTCAATCGCAGATGTCATACTGAAGGGTGGTGAACATGGTAATGTTGCTATTGGGGTGGTACGGCTTGGTTAGGGACGGTACAATACGGTATGGTAATAGCGAGCTGGTCCAGCATCGTGCGCTATAACCGGTTAGCCTCCTAGCTATCCATTGCTCCACCCACCCAAGAAACAGGTTCTTAGCCAACAACCCCCCTGTGCTGTGGGAGACCACTTCCCATTCCACACTAAACACAGTCAGCTCATGACATAACAAGACAAGCACAATGTCTTGCCGTGTGTTCATGCCATTTGTGCCTCAATTTGGCTCATGCGCATGCCAGCAATTTCCCATGCCTCAAGTGCATTTCATACCGATGAACATACCCCCTGATTGTGCATGCTCTCCGCATACTGTTCTTTTCATGTGAAGGAGACATATTATGTAAACTTTTGTGAATCCTATGTAGTCGTCATTGGGTGTTGTAGCAAACCTAGATAGTGAGATCCCTTCAACGAGTTCACATAAAGTAGTTACGGTATAGATGGAATAAGGTTATATAAGATTTGTAGTAGCATCAACGTGTTTCCGCACGCATGTTCCTTTAGCAGTGGAAGCTGAACGGGCTTGGGCACCACGGCAGGACAGTGGTCTTTCTAGAAGTTGCCGACGACGAGCCACATTTCAAGCATTTCACCAAATCCATTATCGAGCACCTCCGCTTTGCAGAGTAAAATAGCTGATATTTGATGCATTCGTTTCCGTGTGTTAGACCTAATTTGAGTCGTTCTCAGGCCTTCAAGCAGCGCGCTACCCAACAGTCGCGCACTGATCCGGCCTGAGCGTTCACTCCGTCGGTTGCGCTACACGTCTCCCCTGTTGACTAACCTTTCGTGAGCCGTGCTCGCGGCGATGGCGGACGGCAAGCAGTTCAACATGCGGAATCCGGCGGTGAAGCGGATTCTGCAGGAGGTGAAGGAGATGCAGCGGGAGGGCAGCAAGGAGTACACCAGCATGCCGCTCGAGGTGCGTTGCTCGTAGACGCGTGCGTGTACGCGAGTGATACAATCGAGATGCCGAGAGCGCGTAGTGCTTAGCGAGTGACGGCGCGGGAGTCACACTGCAGTCTAAGACTCTTTGAATTCTGCGGGTAGTGGCAATCCTACCTGGCAGCGGGTGGTGCACCGTTTCAGCTTTGCATGGTGATGCGCAGAGGGGGTATTGACCAAACCTATTCGCCTTGTCGTCACCCTTAGCCGCATACCGTTTCCATCAGCAAGCCTCGCTGACCGCTCGTCCTACCCAGCACGTAGCAGCGTCTGTCGTATCATCTCCTAACGTATCTTATCCTGTGAATCTAAAGCTGCACGTTCGAGTGTCCCTCGTGACATGCATTGCACGGCACTTCAGGAGGGCAGATTTGATTGTCCCTCGCGTTGATCGCACCCCTCCAGGAGGACATATTCGAGTGGCAGTTCGCGATCCACGGGCCCAAGGACTCGGAGTTCGAGGGGGGAATCTACCACGGTCGCATCACCCTGCCCGCCGACTACCCCTTCAAGCCACCCTCCTTCATGCTCCTCACCGTGAGTGCACCGCTCTTTGCGGCGCGCGCCTTATAAGTGTTGGTTTGGGGCACCTCAAGATTGTCTTAATATGTGATGAGAATTCTCTCAAGCTTGCCTGAATCAAAGGCAACAGACACTCTGAAAGGTGTTGGACATTCCCTGTTCCCTCAATTCTGCCCCCTCTGCCCTCTCTGCTCTTCTCGATCTGCCCTCTCCGCCTCTCTGCCCTCTCTGTGTGTCGGCCATGGCAGCCCAGCGGTCGCTTTGAGGTGCAGACGAAGATCTGTCTGAGCATCTCCAACCACCACCCCGAGCACTGGCAGCCCTCCTGGAGTGGTGAGCTGGACGATGGCCATCGCATTCTCACAATATGAGAGATTATGGGGTGTTGCGTGTGTGCCTGCAGCTGTATGCATATACTCATCGTCTCCCATTCTTCCCCTCTTTTCTGTATCCATCTACCCATATATTATTTTCCTATCGTCCCCCATCCTTCCCCTATCGTCCCTCATCCTCCCCTGCAGTGCGCACGGCGCTGGTGGCGCTGATAGCCTTCATGCCAACGAAGCCTGATGGCGCATTGGGCTCACTGGATTACCCCAAGGACGAGCGCCGCAAGCTCGCAATCAAATCCCGATTCGCGCCGCCCAAATTTGGGAGCCCCGGGCGGCAACAAGTGATTGATCAGATTCACGCAGCCATGCTGCAAACGGCCCCTCCCATCCCTGCTACTTTGCAGTCTGCCTCTTCTCCCAGCCCTAAGGCTCCAGACGCCCCTCAAGACTCAGCTGCCGACCTTGCTCTCCCTCCTCCTGCTGAATCAGTGAGTACTGGTGCTGCTGCTGACTCTGGTACTTCTCCAGCTTCCCCCCCCGTGCCCTCCTCGTCCACCGAGGTTTCTGCCGAGCAGCCTTCTCTCAGCTCTTTAGTCCCTCTTCCAGCAGCAGCACAGCCAGGCGACACACCGTCCACATCCTCCGCACCTGCTACTGTGGGTGCGACTCCCGGTTCTTCCTCTGGCTCAGCCGGCCTAAATGAGACAGGCACGGGCCTTGCTGTATCTTCCGGTAGTGATTCTACAGGGGCCAGCTCTTCAGCTCCTCTCCTGCAGACACACGCCGGATCCGTCCCTGCTGGTGGTTCGGAGTCAGCTGCATCAGCTGCTGCTGCGGCAGGACAAGCGGTCCCAGCAGGTGCAGCCGAGGATGCTGCAGCAATAGCAGGTGCATCCATTGCTGCTGCGGAACAGTCCCTGACTGCGCCACTGCTACCACCACTACCACAATCGATGGCAGAGTCCAGGCAACCAAGCGCAGCAGCAGCAGCAGTAGGCCCTTCGGCCGTGGAGGCAAGAGCAGGATCAGCAGGAGTAGTGACAGGGCAATCACAGAATCAGGGGCAGGCAACACGGGCAGCAGGGGGACGAGTTGGAGGGGCAGCAGGAGAGGACAGAGTGTTGAACACTCTGGCAGCTGCAATAGTGGTTGCGATTGTGGCGCTGCTTCTGAGAAAGTTCTTACGGGTGTATTCTCCCTTGGATGAAACAAGTATGGAATGGTGATGGGGACATGTGCCAGCGGAGGCTGTGGGCTAATGCTGATACTAGGAGAATGTGTCAATGGGAAGTTTGGGCGGTTTTTATCGTGTTACTTCCTCCAAGGGTGTTACATTCTTCTTCAAGCTGTCCAAGATACCGTGTGCTGAAATGTGCTGGTTGGACTCGGCTGTATCAGTATACTGTATTTGGTTGCTTGTCAGATACAGCAGTTATGCACGAAAAATGCTGTTAATAAGAGATACCGTAGTATCATTAAAAAAATGCCCGTCAACTTCTAAGGCTAACTATATCCCATGTCCTAGCTAGTGTTGATATGTTTTAACCACCCAGGCACCTGTGTGACTCCTTAGGCTGCTGGTCATTTGTCCTTAGTGCACGGCCTAGTGCATGGAAGGAAGATCCTTCACCCAGGGGTCTAGAGCGTGTCCAATAGCAAACACAATGAAGCCGATCTCCCTCAGCTTTGCCACATCCACAATGTTGCGGCCGTCAAACACGAAGGCTGGCTTCTCCATGTGCTCATAGATTTTCTGTGGGCCATGCAAGGGGTTGGAATGCAGGGGAGATTCATTTCACATTGAAGAAGAAAGCAGGCTAGGAAGGAATAGTACTGAGGTAAGGGACATGAACACACACGGTGGAAGGGAACTCGGACATCAGATTGGATGTGTTATGAGTCAGCATGGACAGTATTGCAGCAGCGTGTTCATGTGCCAGTTGAATCGGTTGCAACCCACCTGATAGTCCAGTGTCTTGAACTCGTCCCACTCTGTGAGGATGCAGATTCCATGAGCACCTTTGCACGCTCCATATGCATCCCATGACACAGAAACCTGGATGAAGGGAGCAGTGGATATAGGGTGGAAGCGTGAAACAGATTACTCTCTTTCACAAACATGGTTAGAGGAACAATGTGAGGGTGCAAGAAGAGTGCATGACGAAACCAGGGTTCATGTGCTCCTTGAAACCATCATACACTGCTTGTTTCACAGTCGGTGCAGAGAGGGGGCTTCTAAACGCACAGAGAATATAACAGTTTAGAGTTTGTGCAATGGTTTTACCTTCTGGTGGACTCTTGGGCTGACTGGCTGCAGGTGGTAAGGGTGGTCCCAGTCAAACTTGTTCATGGACAGGTCACGCCTGATCTGCTCCTCAGTCACCTGGAAACACAAGCAAGAGCCTTGTTAAGCCTCTCTCGCTTCATATGCATAAGCTGAGTATATGTGATAGTGCGGAAGAGATTGGACTTACTTGTGGGTCGTAGATGCTGACGTCAGCCTGATCCCTGAGAAGCCCATGGCAAACATCAATGGCAGGGCTCTCCCTGGTGTCTCCTGTGTCCTTCTTGAAGGCAAACCCGAGAATGGCAATTTTCTTGTTGACGACAGTGTTGAACATGGAGGACACAATTCGGCTGATGAACCTCGACTTCTGGTACTCGTTAATATCAATCACCGATTTCCAATAATGAGCAGCCTCCATCAATCCATTGCACTCACAGATGTAGACAAGGTTCAGAATGTCCTGTAGGATCGTGACCAGGGCAGGTGAGTATGGTGCTGGATTTGGAGGCGAAGCAGCCTTTGGCGTGTGTGTGCTTGTGTGTCGGGATGCAATGTGTATGAGCGTGTGCAAAGCTCACGACTTGTGCTTTTGAGAGAGGAAAGCGGAGGGGAAAAGGGGGATGGGAGGTAGGTGTGGGGGTGTTGGAAAGAGAGGGATGCTGGCGGGAAGGGGGGAGAGAGTGAAGGAGTTAAAGAGTTCGACAAGGTAGGTGTGGGGGTGTTGGAAAGAGAGGGATGCTGGAGAAAGAGGAAAGTACCTTCTGGAAGCAGGAGCCACCAAAACCAACAGAGGCTTGCAAGAATCTGGAGCCAATGCGGGTATCTTTTCCAATGGCGTATGCTACTTCTGAGACGTTAGCCCCAGTGGATTCGCACAGGGCGGAGATAGCGTTGATTGACGAAATGCGTTGAGCAAGAAACGCATTCGCTGCCAGCTTGGTCAGCTCAGCGGACCTGAGGAGGCATGTGTGAGAGCGTGGATGTAAGGAAAAGCGCCCTGGCAATTCTGTTACTGAGTGGCTGGTTCTATTAGCGTTATTCCATCAAGTCTCTCACCAGAGGTTGGTCACAATGATGTTTTCTTGAGGCACCCAGTGAGCATAGACTGCAGCAAGAGCAGCTGCTGCAGCCTGGCCTTCCTCACAAGTGCGACCACCTGAATGAATGAAACAGTACACAGCGAAATACAATGTTGCCTTTTTTCAAGAAGCAAGAACTTCAGAAGTTGACGAACGAGAGAAATCGCTGGATCTTACCGATAAGAACACGATCGGGCTTGTCGAGGTCTGCCATTGCAGTGCCTTCCGCTAGAAATTCGGGATTCGATAGAATCTAACGACAGTACAGATCAAATTAGTGACTGGCCGGAACAGACGTGAGAATGGGGCCTTAAGATTGAAAATGACTTGTTACCTGGAACTTGATGCCTTTCGTGTTATGTGTAAGAATCTTCTCAATAGCTTCCGCAGTCTTTACGGGAACAGTGGATTTCTCAACCACAATCTTGTCAGAGGTAGAAACGTCAGCGATCATCCGCGCAGCGCTTTCCCAGTAGGTCAGGTCGGCTGCTCGACCAGCTCCTAACCCCCTGGTCTGCAAATGCCAAGAAGGAACGGGTGGCTGTCATGAACCCCGACTTCATTCATTCCTCAGGAGTTTTTACGATTCTGCACTCTTTCATGTACCTTGGTTGGTGTGTTCACAGACACGAAGATAATGTCGGCCTCAGCGACGCTCTTTTCCACGTCAGTCGTGAAGAACAGGTTCTTATCGCGGCAAGACTTCACGACATCGTCGAGTCCAGGCTCGAAAATAGGCAGATTATCGCTGTGAAAACAAAAGGACAGAGTGTTGATTCGCGCGTATTGACTTCGGCAACGGAACGCTGGAAGAACGAAAACCCGACATACCTGTTCCACGCAGCGATTCTAGGCTTGCTTATGTCCACCACGGTGACCTTAATCTCTGGACATTTGTATGCAATCATGGCCATGGTGGGGCCACCCACGTAGCCAGCGCCTATGCAGCAGATCTTCACCATGGTTCTAAGCTGAGTTGGAACTAATGCAACGTCTGTGAACTCTTCTACCTGTCTACCACCTAATGCAACGTCTGTGAAGAGAAGCGGATAGACAGTCCCAACAGAGCACAACAGGTAATATAGCAAAAACTACTAGGCGATCCAGAAATTTGAATCTGAAAGAATGGAGTTTTCTAGGAGGGGTGACCAGACCAGGCGACGATACCGACGGGTGCGACGGTCGCTGGGCGATGCTTTGGTGTGGATCGCAGTGGGCGCGAGTGTGTGGTTGGCTTGGTGAGGCCTGATTAGTCAGATGGGGAAGCAGCGACCCGAACCGCACAGCTAGCCTTGGGAAGAGCGAAATTCCAGCTGCCACCAACTCCCCCACAAGTCACACAAGCCTGTCCGAGTCTCGCATCAGCGCCACGTGCCCTTGAATATCAGCGCCAGCTCCAACTGCAACCTGGAATATGTTTGTACACCCAGTGAAAGCATGAAAGCATTGCAAAAACACAAAATCAAATTGCTGCAAGATAAATCGCCTCAATCCCTAGCAGGGCTGACTTTTCGAATAAAACCACTCTGATTTTTTTGGCCCCCCAATTTTTTTTAGTCTGAGGCCCATTTTCCAAAAAGTGAATACTCTGATTTCTCAGGAACCAGAGAAGTATAACTCTGAAATTTTTTTAATTCATAGACTAAGGCAGGTTTTCCTACTAACGAACCTTTTGCACAAGTTCGGAGGGATGGGTTTTCCTCGAAGTAACAGGTATGGCGAAGGGGAGTTCGTACTCTGTAGTATGAAAACTCATTATCCGGTAAGCAAGTTCTCTGAATTTTTCAGTATCGAAAAAACCATTAGTCTGAAGCACTCATTTTTCAAAACCAGCCAACTCTGAAAAATCAGGAATGTCAGGAAAATAGTCTGAAATTTCAGACAATCAGACTAAAATAGTCTGATATCGTCAGCCCTGATCCCTAGGCATGTGCACCCTAGTAATTCCAGCATATTGGACCTCACATACAGGTTCACTACGACTTCACCAAGCTCACCCCAGTTCAGTCATGAAGTAGCCATATTCTACAGCTATATTTGTCTCCAACAACAACCTGGCCTTTGAGGCACGAGGTGTGCTTATTTGTTCAACAGAATTCATGCACTTCTGATAGGTAAAGATTAGAGAAGAGCTGCTAAAATAGAAGCACATAAACATGCTACTCTATACTATACACTAATGGATGAGACCACCTATTGAAAGCTTTCACAACTCCGCAGGGAGGATGTCACTTCTGTAATTTGACCCGTTGATGCTCGGAAATTTGGTAAGCTACCATGGCCCTCACGCGCTGGCGGAATCCAGGGTACGGTTCAAACCCAAACCGCTCCATAACCTGCCACACACACACGGAGAAGGAAATTAAATATCAAAACAGAAGGGCGACCCAGACAGTGACAATCAATGCAGGAGATGCTGACCTCAAGGAGTACGAAGAGTGGCGCCATGAGCAATGCCTGAGCCAAATTGTCCACTAGTAGGCGCTCTCTTCTGATAACGTAGAGGGAAAGGATAGGTGGGAGAAAAGGGGATAAAATTAGCTTCACGAAAGAGGCTTGACATTGCTTCATGTGAGACGGATCATGGGTTGTTGCAAGACCAGGAGATGGTGCGGAGGGTTGCATGCACAACAGACCCAGCGAACATGCAATGCAATGATAAGAACAGGTGCACGGGCATGCAGAGGGGGCTGACCTCGAAGACGCCATGGCCCAAAAACTGCCCGGCCCACGACACCACCTGGGCGATGACAGCAAGCTGATGGCCAAAGGGAAGAGGAGAGGGGCAGGGGAGAGAGGCAGGGAGGGGGGCGGGGAGGGAGGCGGGGAGGGAGGCAGGGGAGATTGGCAGGGAAGAGGACAGGGGAGAGAGGCAGGGTGACAGATCGGGGAGAGAGAGGAAGGGGGAGGCGGTGGAATGGGTGAGCAGGGAAGAGGCTGACTCCACTTCATGGGACCGACCGTATGCAGGAGAGCAGTGGAGTGAGGCCAAGGCAGCGAGCGATGGCGAATGAACTGCTGTGCATGCAGTGACCGTTCACATGTGAAAAGTATGGAAAGGCATATGCGTGGCTGGGTTAAAACCCGGGGGCCAAGAGTTTCTAAGTTAGGAAGGTTGCTAGGGGCAAGAAACGTGACTGGCTCGCGAACCAGGGTGTTGTCGAAATCGGAGGTTGTGGGTCGCAAAGTTTGAAAACCTCGCGAGTGTAACCAGATCTGGAATGCAACGTCAAATAGTTTCGGATGGGCGTGAAATCTGTTTTCGAAATCGTCACTGCTATCGTCCAGTAATTTCGCGTACCGAAAAAATTCCCGAAGGTTTACGAGGTTAGGGAGTTTCAGTCAGTATCTACTGGGTCACACCCAACCAAAGTTAGGAAGTTTGAGGCAGTTTTGGCCTGTTTGGGACTCCGGTTTTAAAGAGAGGAGACTCGCTCCTTATCCAACTGAGTGATTCCTCCCTCATCACTTTCACCTATCACCATGTGTCAGGTTCAGTGAGTGAAGTCCCAAGCTCTCCAGCCCCCCAATCCCGCAGTCCATCAGTCCTGCAGTCCCCAACCCCTCAATGTCACAGCCATCTTCCCCGTCAAGTCACTCGAGCAACCCTCGCTATCCTCCCCCCCAACCCCCCCTGGCAGCCCCGCGCGCACCTTCCAAGCGCGCCCGGCGCCCACGGCTTTGATGAAGGCGCGCGAGCCCACGAAGCACCCGCCCACCATCAGCGCCGCCAGCGACCCCGCGCGCCGCTCCATGGCGATGTAGAACACCGCGTACACCACCGACACCAGCGCCGCGCCGTTAAACACCAGCCCGCTGCCCGGAAGCGCGAGCGGAAGCGGTACGGGCACCTGCGGCACGAGCTTAGCTAAAGCGGCGAGGACCGGGTGGCTGAGGGAGATTAAAGACGGCGTGTATTGGAGGAGGACGAGCGCGGAGAAGAGGATGGGCCACACGAAGACCATGTGGATGGCCTTGTTGATCGGGTCGTCGTGGTACGAGCCGTAAAACGCGTAGTGCTTCTCGAGATTGAACAGCGAGCGGAATGAGGCGGTAGCGGATGGGCTTGTAACGGGGATGGGGGCGGTCTTTTTGGGGTCCGGGGAAATGGGCACGTGAACGTCGTCCGCGGAGGGGTCTCTATCGCCGCCGCTGACGAGAAGGGTAAATTTGCATTGCGCAGTTTCAAGCCTAAATATCCTCTATGCGCCAGCGTCGCATAAAACATTGGTTGGAAGTCAACGAGAATTGAACTAGAATAAGAATGCGATGACGATTTTTAGGACACGGAGAGCCAGTGAGTAGGACGCCACGTGGCGCGACGGCGAATTGGCAGTCTCGCATTACACAGCGAGGGCAGGGAGCGCGCGGACCTTGCAAGCGGGTGTAGGGAGACGGAAAGATCTTGGCGAGAACGAAGCTTCGCACGGCCGCGTAGTTCCTGGCAGGCGAGCCAGCCTGGCAAGCCCAGGAGTGCGAGGCAGCCGTGCCTTTCTTTAACGCGTCTCCGCTTAGCGTGTCTGCTCTCAGTGCGCCGGCAGCTCTGCACGTACAGATGAACGACGGCGCCGCGGTTGACGCCATTCTTGCACGCAGACGCCGGGCTCGCAACAAGAGGTCGTGGTGGGAAGGAACGACGCCAATGAGTGCGCAGCCCGAAGAGACAGAAAGACGCGCCCACGGAGAGCAAGCAGCAAGGTGCGAGAAGCAAGGAGGCAGCAGCGCTGACTTCGGCAGAGGTTCAGCAATGATTCCTTCTCGCACCTTGCAGAAGCCCAAAATTGTTTGTTGGTGCAAGATATGGTAGGTTGTAGCTACGCAGCGAGGGGCATAACTGCTTCTCGCATGAGTGGTGGATGATGAGTCAATTGTCAATGGAGCATCGAGTTGGTGTGCATGCAGCGGGCTGTGACCGTGTGAGTGTAGGAGGGAGTGAGAGGTAGAGGAAAGCAGCTTCACTCCACTCAACTCCCTCCCACCCACCTGATTCTCCTCTCCATTGTGTGCCTGTTGGCGTGGTCTCGCGACGCGATGTGGGGCTATGCCCCTTTCTCCGCCTCCGAGGCTACCGCCCGCTCCGCCACATTTCCGTCCGAAGACTACATGTTCCGCTTTGAGAAGATGGCACTGAGCGGACGAGGCTCAGGTGAGGGGAATGGGTGGGGTGGGGGGAACCAAATTGGCGCGCAGCTGGCATGCGGGCAAACTTCTGCGAGTGCGAGTGCGTGTTCCGAGTGCGTGCGAACTAATTATAGTCGCATTCGGCTGAAAGCGCTTCGCTATTATTGGGCAATGTTTTCCATACGACTCCTTCACGACGGTTCTGGGGCAGGCAGCGACTGAATCTCGGCAGAGCGACAGGAGGACGACATCCTTTTGCGTCAGCATTATCCTTTGGCAATAGCACCCTGCTCACAGTCATTTGTGATTGTCTGGCCCACATAGCCCCCTTCTCTTGTCTGCAAATGTACAAATACGTTGCATGGTTTCATGTAGTAATTTATTACAGTCGTATTGTTATACCTTGTAACAGTCATAACTCCCTTTCAAACGCACAAACCCCCTGAACCTCTCTCCTGACACGTGTCCATCCATGGACCACCACCCTGTAACCTTGATCAGTTACTTTCCGCCAATCCCTCGCCACACACACCTCCACCTGTCTGCTCCGTTGCTGTTACACTACACTACCCCTATCCTGCCCTGCGATTTCTGCAGCCTCCCTGATTTCTCATGCGGCGGCAGCAGGAGTTTGCCCCGTCAAGTCGTGGGCCGTGAGTTGGGAGTTTGTAACCCTCTTCTCGCCTTTTCCCTGGCTCGTGCGGGCATAACACTTTCTCCTGTTATGCGCGTTTGTGTTACAAGTCCTGCTGCTTACCTTCTCCCGCATGTCTTCGCAGCGCCTTTCTATTCGAATTTCCACTCGATTTTTCGAAATCAGCAGCTAGGCTGAGTTTTGACGTGCTTTCTGCTTCCCGCTTGCAGCTGTTTTCGTCCTGAGACCTTCACGCACTCAGTCTTCGTGTTTCCACTTCGAGTTGTCCGATTCTTTTAGCCTAGCAGCTTGAGCACAGCGTTTCGTCTCTTTCCTTTGTTCACTATGGAAGTACAGCACGCACTGTCAACGCATGACCCGCTTACCGTCACAGGAGCACCAGCAGTAACAGCAGCTCCACCCATCGGAGCGGCATCCCTTGCCGCGCATGCTGCAACGACAGATGTCACGTCTGCACCTGATGTTCCTGCATTAACAGTGGCATCGTTCGCTGAAACCGGAGCGCGAACCGGCGAGGGTGGCGCGGAGCTAGCGATTTTCACAACGGGAGACGCGGAAGCTGATGGAGCGGGAAACGACGCGAGCGGCGAGCATCCTTCCATGTCGCATCCGTCTTTGGAGCACCCGTATGCGGAATTCGCCGCTAATGGCTCCTTCCCTCCCCACGCGTCGACCGCGCCGACGCGGCTCGTGAACATGCCGTCGTACGTCAACTTCATCCGATCGGATCTCGCGCCGCGGCCGGACACGCAGCGCGCGCCCGTGATTCGCGTGCATCCGACGGTGTTCGAGGCGCTGCACGCGCTGCGTGAGGGCCTGCAGCTGTGCCGGCCGGCGAACCGCGTGAGCATCAGCGACGTGATCGATCACTTCCTGTGCTGCTCCGCGGAGGAGGTCGACCGCCTGCTGGAGCGCCGCGTTAAACACCGCCGCCAGATGCTCGCGCTGGTGCAGCAGCAGCAGCAGCAGGGGCAGGGACAGGCGCAGGGACAGGGGCAGGCGCAGGGCCAGGAGCAAGGGCAGGGTCTAGGACAGGGGCAGGGGCAGGATGGCCAGCTGGCAGTTGTCCAGCAAATGGATGGCGGACACGTGGCAGTGCAGCAGGAGCAGGCGGGGCAGGGTGGGGAGGGCGAGGCATTCCCTTCAGGTAGTATCGCTGCTGGCTATCCGTACTCGTACTCGGCGCTCATACCCCCCATGGTGCAGCCCGAGCAGCAGAGGCGCAAGCGGCGGCGGCGGCACGTGCAGCCCCCTGCCACTCAGAGGAAGCTGCTGCAGTTGCTGCAGCAGCAGGAGCAGTTCCACCCTGGGCCTGCCCCCCTGCAGCAGCCCTTGCCGTTCCTACACCAGGTGCAGGAGCAGCAGCAGCAGCAGCAGCAGCAGCAGGACCACCAGCAGCAGCAACCCCAGCAACAATTGCAGCAGCAACCGCAGCCGCAGCAGCATCAAGAGCCACAGCAACAGCAGATGCAAGGGGATCAGCAGCAGCAGCAGCAGCAGCAGCAGCAGGGTGCGGGTCACAGGGCATTGCAGTGGGGCGCTGGACCCATACCCAACTACGCGTCTCAGTAGCAGCAACCCCATGCCAAAGACACTTCTTTTCACTCAATGAGCACCTACCAGTCGCTGATGCAGGCGCTAGTGCCCCTTAGAGCACCATCCAGTCCAGTGTGCCTCTCATTGCAGCTGCTGCTAGGACATGACACATTGATTCGCTGTCTGTATCACTTCCAAATGTATGGCTGCAATGCCATAGAGCTTATCCACTCATTTTGTACGGTATTGCCCCTGTTACTTCAAGAAATTGAATTTGAATGCCTTCCACGAGGGCCTGAAACAAAAAAGGTCCACTAAATATTAACATGATTTGCATAACATGTGCACACTTACGGTACAACAAATACCACCTAAGGAACAGGGCTGCATCGTTCTCGCTGCCATGCTGTGCTAAGCCAGGCAGCGATGCACCTGCCAGCTAGCTGCGGTTACCGGTTAGCTGCGGTTAGATTGGGTTAGCTGGGGTTGATAACTTAGCACCGTAACTGGAGCCACGGATGGGAGAGGAAGTAGCACGGTAGCACCTTGACCAGCACTGCCTCTGCATCCATCTCACTTGCTGCTCCCCATCCACCTTCTGGTCCGGCTTTCCCATGAGCCCACCAGTGGACTCCTGCATGCTCCACGCAAGCATGCCTCTGCCGTCCCTGCACTCCCTCCCTCCACACTCTTCACCGAAACTCCACACACACTCCACACACTCCACACAGCGCACTCTCACCCGCCTCACAGCGCATGCTTACCCGCCTCACAACTCATCGTCGCTCTGCCACGCGTCCCTCTTCTGCCAGCCCTTTCCCGAGCCACCTCCGCTTCTTGATCCCTTTCCTCCTCCCCCTCCCCCCCCTGCGCCCCCTGCTCCCCCTGTTCCTCCTGCTCTCCCTCTCCCACTTGCACCTTGTGCAACCAATGGCTGCCTGCCAGGTGGCAGCGGCAGAGCTGTCTGAACCTCCTCGTCATCATCGTCATCATCATCATAATCATCATCACCGTCACCATCATCATCATTTTCATCATCATCATCATCCTCGTCGTATTCATCTTCATCATCATCATCCTCCTCCCCATCCTCCTCCTCCTCCTCCTCGTCCGTGTCTTCCACTCGTCCCTTCCCTTTCTCGTACTCCCTCCCTCCTTTCCCCATCAACCTCCCTTCTTCCATCGACTCAAACTCCTCCTCATCCTCCTCATCATCCTCATCCACCCCTCCTGCCCGCCCTCCCCGCAGTGACATCTCTTCAGAAACGTCGTACACCTGCTGCTGACCGGGCGAACACCCCCCAAACGAAGACCCCTTCGAGCCTCGCGAACCTTTCGATCCTCCCGAGCCTGGCAGCAAGTTTCGAGTGCGCTTCGGGTCCACCGAGGCTGATAACGAGCCAGGTGGAGGGTCGGGCTCCGTGAGATGCGGCTCGGAGATGGCGAACTCTGCTTCGGCAGCCTTGGCTCGGAAGTTGGTTCGGGAGGGGGGGATCTCGGAGCAGAGGGCTTCGCCAACGTTGTTGAAGCAGCCGCGGCTGTACGGGTTGGGCTTCTTGTCGTAGCGCCACCGGAAGTTCTCATACGTGGTCTGGTGGCATTGTCCCAGGGGGAGAGGGGGGAGGGAGAAAGAGGAGTGGGGGGGAGGGGAAAGCGGAGGACTTTTGAGGCCCCTCAACAGCAGCCGCGGCTGTACGGGTTGGGCTTCTTGTCGTAGCGCCACCGGAAGTTCTCATACGTCGTCTGGTGCCGTGGGCCCAGGGGGAGAGGCGGCGGGAGTGTAGGGGAGGCGAGGGGAGGGGAGGGGAGGGGAAGGAGAGCGGAAGGGCGAGAGGGAGACGGGTTATATGGGAGAGAAGCACAGAAGGACGGAAGGGAAGGGCGTGACATTGAAATGCAGAACATGTGGGGAGGGAGATGCAAGTGGCACTGGTGCGGGCAAGTAAGCAGCTGGTATCTCTTCCCAGCTAACCCACCTGGCTGCGGCACATGAGGTAGGTGTGGAATCCTGACAGCCACCCCACGAACCACACGGCGAGGAACGTGAACCCCATGAGCACCACGGCCACGGGCGCCTGCCCCATGGCCTGCCACACCGTGCCCTAGCTGGTATAGCTGCGGACTGACCTGGTTGCGGCACATGAGGTAGGTGTGGAAGCCTGACAGCCCCCCCACGAACCAGACCGCCAGGAAGGTGAAACCCATGAGCACCACGGCCACAGGCGCGTGCCCCATGGCCTGCCACACGGTCTGCGTGCCGGCTGCAGGGTCGTGAGCGTTGAACATGAGCTGGTTGATGAGGTATGCCGAGAAGGCGAAGACGAATATGCAGAGCACTGTGGTGGAGAGGATGAATGTGAAGAAGAAGCGGTAGTTGCGCTGCTTGGGGATGGGGTGGAAGGGGGGGGGAGGGAGGAAAGGGAGAGGGGTCGTGTGCGTTGAACATGAGCTGGTTGATGAGGTATGCCGAGAAGGCGAAGACGAATATGCAGAGCACTGTGGTGGAGAGGATGAATGTGAAGAAGAAGCGGTAGTTGCGCTGTGGGCGGGGGAGGGGCGGAGGGAGATGGAAGATGAGGAGGAAGGGGAGTGGGGATGTTGGGAAGAGAGGAAATGAGTGAGAAGCGGGGAGCGGGGACATGGGACAGGAGAAGGTGAATTGTGCAGAAAGGAAGGAGATGATAAGGTAGGGGGAAGGAGCAATGCAGAAGTTTAGCAGCACTTGTCCCACAAAGGACTACTCGCCCACTTCACCCGTGCAATGCGCTCGCCTCACCCGGCCAACGCCCCCTCCTCACCCGGCCGATGCACTGGCCCACCCAGGGGCAGTGGTGGTCGAATCGATCAATGCAGTTGTCGCAGATGGAGCAGTGCGAGCAGCGCGGCGGGCGGTACAGCAGGCACGAGTCGCACCACTTCACCTTTACCGCCACTCCGTTCACCACCACCTCGCGGCTGCGCGGAACCTTCCCCGCTGGCGCTGTGGGGTTACGCGGGACGATGCCAGGGTCGCGACAGGCCGTGAAGAGCAGAATGTACAGGTCCTGGTGTGTTGGGGGGGGGGGGGGGGGGGGTTGAGGGGGTGGAGGGGAGAAGAGGGAGGGAGTGGTGGAGGGGAGAGGACTTGAAGTGCGTCAGAAGGCGGGATAAGGTGTGGACGGAAGGAAGGCATGACCCATGAGATGAGCGATGCACCCCTGTTACGAGCGACGCGTATAGCATGACACATGCGACGCGTATAGCATGACACATGCGACGCGTATAGCATGACACATGCGACGCGTATAGCATGACACATGCGACTCGTATAGCATGACGCAGGCGACGCGTATAGCCTCGTGAGCGACGCGACGCACCCATGTGATGAGCGAGATAGCGGCGGGCAGCACGGCGATGCCGCCCCACATCTTGTCGATGAGCTGGTACGCGACGAAGACGCAGAAGAGCGCGCCGGGGATGGTGATGAGGCAGACGGACACGAGCAGCGAGCGCACGTCCGGCCCGAACACGCACAGCCCCCACAGGAAGAACTTCTGGTGTGGTTGGCAGGTGGGGATGGTTGAGGGAAAGAGGAGGGATGGTGATGAGGCACACGGACACGAGCAAGGAGCGCACGTCGGGGCCCGAACACGCACAGTCCCCACAGGAAGAACTTCTGGTGTGGTTGATAGGGGGGATGGTGTGAGGGAAAGGGGGAAGCGCGCGGAGGGATGGACGCGAGTGGAAAGAGTGAAAGGGATGTGGAGAGATAGAGGGGGGTGTCAAGGGAGAGGCGAGAGGGTGCGGCCATGAAGAAAGGTCCGTTTTGAATAAGCAAAATCATGCGAGTCAAGTTAAGTGAGCCGAAAGGAAGCCGCGATACCGTATGGATTGAAATCGACATAACGTTCGAGTTCAGGAAAAATGGATGAACTAGAGGGGCAGATACAAGTGCGAGACGGCTCACATTGTCTCCTTTCCATTTCTGATACACCCGAGCCATGTGGAACCGCCGCGACGTAGGTGGTTAATACTAAACGCGATACGGTTACTCATGGCGCATCAGGCATAACCGTCTGATTCTAAGCGAACGCATATGGAGTCCTGGGAGGCGTCGCGAGAACGGCATGAGCGACCAGTTGTGATAGAAAGTCTGTCGTTTAATTTATACAGCTTGCTACTCACTCAACGCAAAACGGGAAAGGGAACCGACAACCATTGGTTCAGCGTCAAATTGTTGAAGGGAGAGAGGCCAGTCAGTCTGGAATACAGTGACGTGTTAGCAGCTGTGTGGAATTGCAGATGATCGCACATAAGTTTATCGATAGTTAGCTGTACGCAGAGAGTAGTTGGAGGTCGATCAAGCTATTGGCAGGCACGAGGAGCCTATGTTAGAAGTCAAGTGCAACCGTCTGGCCACCACTAAAAATACGTTCTACTGGAGTAAACGCCTAGCGACTAGAACATGAGAAGCACCGAGCACCGCAAAGCAGGACGCGCAAAAGAAAGCCCGAGGCCAGTCCCTAGAAATTGCCCTCCAGTGAGACGCGGACATAGAGGTTGGAGCACATATCACCGCTTTCTATCACACAGAAAAACTCCGAACCGATCTATTACTCCTCGAAATTCCAGTTTCACGACATCCCACCTGCCCTACCGAGCCAGTTACCCTGAGGCACGCTGCCATGCCAGTGAAGTCACCTGGTTACACCAGACCACAGACAACGGCGCCAAGCCTACAACGAGCCGACGATGCTGCCTCGACAAATCAGTACGTGGGAGCACGGCACCGAGGGAAAAGTTATGGGGAGTTGATGAAGGGGAGCACAGGTCTGGAGGTTTGGTCTGTCGGCTTTATCGCAGGTTTGGATGCACAAACCTGCACATCGTGTGAAGACCTGCGTTGTTGTTGATTTGCTCGAGAGGTACAATTACAGTACAACAGTAGTTCAGTGCGATTTTCGCACTGCCTGTGTTGAAAACTCCATGAAACCGAATGGCCTAAGCTGAGAGACGCTAAGTTTCAGAAGAAATGCTTTTCAATAAGCGGTTGCACCGGCACAACTTCCAATGAGTACTGATTTCAGAAACCTTTCAGAACCTCTGACTGCTTCAAAAGACACTCGAAAACGTTTCTTTTGCAGGAGAAATCCCTCCAAAAAGCACCTACCTCAACACCAGCGGGAGTCGCCTGAAAGCGGCCCAAATCCCCTGACAGCATTTGCTGAAGGATTGAACTTCGTTTCTGCCTTCCAGGCTGAAGCTAGGGTTTGGTGGTCCCTGAGACTGGGGATCTCAGCTCCTTGCCAGTTCGTGTCGTCCAACCTCATCGCTTAGGCGGCGAGAAAGCGGGTTTCGAAACTCTAGTTTAGCAATTAGCGGCTCGAACACTGGTGTTCCCCATTTTCAACGAATCAGATTTCGTTTCTTCCCGGTTTTGGTTCCCAACGGTTCTGGCTCACTTTGCCGCCAGTGACGCTCGTTCTTTTGTTTCCGAATATCCGCAACGATTCAGACCCGTTGATCTACTTTTGCGGCTCGGTTCTTGCCCCATTCTCTCCCCAGCCAGCGCCAACCATCCCTCCCTACGTTCGCCCGTCACCTTCCCATTTCCCAACCGTCGCGCCTCATTCGCACCTCTGCATATTCGCCCCTCGTCCTCGTTCACTCTCCATTTTCCAAATTTCAGCCGTGGGCCAACATTCAGACTCCATTTTCCGTTATTCAGTCACCACATTCAGGCTTCGGTCCGTCCAGTATCAGAACAACTTTGGAACACCTGGGAACAGCTCGGAGCACTTTGGAGCACTGCTGCTTCCTTTCAACGAGACGCGAACGCGAAGAGTCTTATTGCTGCCGAGCCGATTGCTTCGACGCAGCGGAAGCTCGCAAGAAGAAGATAATCGCAGTGACTCCAAGTGTAAATAGTAAGTGTTCCTGTTTCTATTTTATTTTCGAAAGTATTCAAGTTTCTATTCTCGAGATTCGTTATTTTTACGTTATTGAATACTTATCTGACTCTTCGTTTGATTCTGTGCAGATCTGGGTAGAACACGAAGAACGACTGAGATCGACATTGGCTCTGACGGGTGAAGATTCGCGAAGAACTGAAATACTGGATCTTCACCGGCGATCTTTCAAATGTAAGAGTCGGGATTTCCCGGTTCGATTTTGCGTTTCGGTTTGTTTCTGTTCTATGGACCCTCGCTAATGCAGTTTCTTCCATGTCGTCGCGTGCAGGTTTTTCTGACATTCGCGCATCACAAGCCAAGATCGGCGCCGAATCGATATCCTTCGTCTTGCAATCAACGCGCGTGTGCTTCGAGTCAAGCGCGTCGGCGTTAAGTCAACGCGCGTTTCTCCGCTTTCGCTCAACGCGCCCGCTGCCGCCTCCAGTCAACGCCTGCTGCCACGAGTCAACTCTTCTGGTGTTGACTCGAGTCAACGCCCTGCAGCCTTCAGCGAGATGAGTATCCGCATCCCCTTTCCTTTCGTCGCTCATGATTTCGTATATATTTTTTCGCTATAGCTGCCTGTAGCACACCCGAGTCCCGCCCTTTTTCTTTTTAAGGTTCAGACTATAAGGTATCCCCCTTGGTAGGTGCGAAATTTTCTACCCCTGGTACGGTACGGTAAAGGTCCCCGTTTCCCCTTGGGTGTGCTGCAGCAGCTGTATCTTCCCTCCAGAATTCGCTACACGATGATCCGTTTCTTACATGTGACTGGACTGCGCACCTCCTACATGTTTCATCAACCCCCCCTCCCTCCTCCCTGTCCATCAAATCACCTGCTGCCTGCAAGGACCTTCGCTGCCAATTTCGCGTTTGAGGCGCATCACGGAGAGCGGGTGTGGGGACGCGGGTCGAAGGCAGCAGCGCGTCGTCATGGGCTGCACGGCGCGGACCAACAGATGAGTATCGCTCGACCGTTTCTGCTTGTCGTTTCGCATGCTTTGCGTTTCACTGCCTCGTCTCTCTAGCTGCCTGTAGCACACCCAAGTCCCTCCCCCCTCATTTTTTGGTAAAGGTTCGGCCTGTCAGGTATTCCCCTTGGTAGGTGCAAAACTTCCACCCCTGGTACGGTAAGGTAAAGGTCCCCCACTCTGCTTGGGTGCGCTACAGCAGCTATACCTTCCTCTTCTGTTCGGTTCTAGGCTTAACTTCATGTGACTCGAAGGAATTCTTGCCGCTTGCTCTTTATTATAGTCCTTCCCCCCTCTCCCCTCCCTTCCCTCCCCCAATTCCCTTCCCCTCGCCAACTCTCAGTGCTCCCCGCGTGTCAAGGATCATCGCTTTGCCTGGCTAGCGTGGAGTGTGGAGGCAGCAGCGGAGGCAGCAGCGGAGGCAGCAGCGGGTCGTCGTGGGCTGCACGGCGCTGCTCACACCACAGCGCGGACCAACAGATAAGTATCGCGCGAATGCTCACCCTCCCTCCGCCCGTAGCTTTCCCTCTTGTCGTTTCACATGCTTTGCGTTTCACTGTCTCGTCATGCTAGCTGCCTGTAGCACACCCAAGTCCCTCCCCCCTGCTTTTTTTTTTCTAAAGGTATAGACTTTCAGGTCAACCCCCCCTTGGTAGGTGCAAAAAAAAATTCCCCTGGTACAGTAAGGTAAAGGTCCCGTTTCCCCTTGCGTGTGCTGCAGCAGCTATACCTTCCCTCTTCTATTCGCTTCTGAACTAAACTGCATGTGACTCGAAGAAGGCTTGTGCAGCTTGCTCTTGGTTCTAATCCTTCACCCCCTCCTCCTTCCCTCCATCCGCCGCCCCCCTTCCCCTCGCCGACTCTCAGTGCTCTGCGCGTGTCAAGGAGCATCGCTCTGCCTGGCTAACGTGGAGCGCGGAGGCAGCAGCGGAGGCAGCAGCGGGACTTCATGGGCTCCCTCGCAATGATATTTGGAAGAAACAGATGAGTATCGTTTCACCACTCACCCCGCCTTCGCCTTTGTCCGTTTCGCCACTTGTCGTTTCAATTGCTTCCTGATCTGCTGCCTCTTCGTTTTAGCTGTCTGTAGCACACCCAAGTCCCTCCCTTGCTTCTTTTAAGGTTCATGTTATGAGGTAAGTAACCCCCTTGGTAGGTGCAAAACTTGTCTCCCCTGGTCCCCTGGTACGGTAAGGTGAAGGTCCCCCGCTCCACTTGGGTGTGCTACAGAAGCTACTCCTCCCCTCTTCTATTCGCATCTGGACGCGACTGCATGTGACTCGACGGCGCTCCTCTCCTTGGCTTTTATTTCTAATCCCACCCCATCGCCCCCTCCCCCACCCCCCCTCCGCTCGCCCTCCTTGTTGCTCCAGGGGACGCTTCTCGCCTCTCCGCTTTCAACCGGCTACAAGGTGCGCGTCAACGCCCTGCGGACTCGAGTCAACGCCCTGCTGTCGCGAGTCAACGCCATGCTGTCGCGAGTCAACGCCATGCTGCCGCGAGTCAACGCCCTGCCGCTTCGAATTAACGTCCTGCTAACGAGAGAGATAAGCACCCCTGCTCCATGCCCTTGACCCATTTTCCCCTTGTCATTCGCCTGCTCTGATTTCGATCAGTCATTTCGCATGCGCTTTTCTCGTCGCTCTAGCTGCTTGTGGCACACTCAAGCCCCCCTTTTGTTCAAGGTTCGGACTATCAGGTACACCCTCCAGGTAGGTACAAAACTTTTACTCTTGGTACGGTAAGGTAGAGGTCCCCCCCCCACTCCACCCTCCTTGAGTGTGCGACAGCAGCTGTACTTCCATCCCGCTCTGCTACACGATGGCTTGTTGCCTGCCTGCATGTGAGTCCACTGCACTCCTCTTCCACGGACTCCCTTCTCATCACATCCTCCCCTCCCCAAACCCTCCCCCTCCCCTCCCCCACCACCTCCCCCACTCGCGCCTTCCTATCCCTCAGCGGCGCTGCTCGCGGCAAGAAGCATTCCTCTGGGGAGCATCGCGTGGAGGCACACAAGGGGAGCTGCTGTGGGGACATGTGGCGGAGGCAGCAGCGGGTCGACTTGGGCCTTCCTCCCAGCCACCAGCACACGGCGGCCAAGAGACAAGTACCACTCCGCCAGCCACTCCCCCTCCGCCATGCCCGCTATCTTTCTGCTGCTTGTCAGTCGCCTGCCTTCATATTACGATCTGTCATTTCGCATGCGCTTTTCTCCTCGCTCTAGCACACCCAATCCCTCTTTTTTCAAGGTTCAGACTATCAGGTTTCCCTTCCAGGTAAGTTCAAAACTTTAACCCTTGGTACGGTAAGGTATAGGTCAACCCCCCCTCCCCGATTGGGTGTGCTACAGCGGTTGTACTTCCATCCCGTTCTGCTACACGAAGGCTTGCCGCCTGCATGTGAGTCCACTGCACTCCTCTTCCACGGACTTATCCCTCAGCTTCTCATCTCGAACGTGCCCCCCCCTCCCCGCCTCCTTCCGCATCCTCATCCCTCAGCCACGCTGCTCGCGGCAAGGTGCATTCCTCTGGGGAGCATCGCGTGGAGGCACACAAGGCGAGCTGCTGTGGGGACGTGTGGCGGAGGCAGCAGCGGGTCGTCATGGGCGTCCCTCCCAGCCACCAGCACACAGCGTCCAACAGATGAGTATCACTCCGCCAGCCTTCTCCCCTCTGTTGTTACCCGCCTGTTCGTTGCGCATGCTTCCCTTTTCACTGCCTCGTCGCTCCCCCTGCCTGTAGCACACCCAAGCCCCCCCCTTTTTTTTTTTCGAGGTTAAGACTGTCAGGTACTACCCTTGCTACTCCCCTTGCTTGGTAAGGTGAAGGTCCCCTCCCCTCTTCTTGGGTGTGCTACAGCTGGCATGCTTGCATCCGTTTCCTCGTCTGACTAGACACACCACTCGCTCGCACTTCATTCTAATCCTACCCCCCATCGCCCCTCCTCTCCCCCGCCCCCCCCTCCCCCCTTCCCTCTCCTCCCGCCCTCTCCCTCCCGACCATCTCGGTGCCGTGCGTGCGTGAAGGACGCTTTGCCTGGCGAACGCTTCTCAAGGGACGTCGGACAGAGGGAGCAGCAGAGGGAGCAGCAGAGGGAGCAGCAGAGGGAGCAGCAGAGGGAGCAGCAGAGGGAGCAGCAGAGGGAGCAGCAGAGGGAGCAGCAGAGGGAGCAGCAGAGGGAGCAGCAGAGGGAGCAGCAGAAGGAGCAGCAGAGGGAGCAGCAGAGGGAGCAGCAGAGGGAGCAGCAGAGGGAGCAGCAGAGGGAGCAGCAGAGGGAGCAGCAGAAGGAGCAGCAGAGGGAGCAGCAGAGGGAGCAGCGGAGGGAGCAGCGGAGGGAGCAGCGGAGGGAGCAGCAGAGGGAGCAGCAGAGGGAGCAGCAGAGGGAGCAGCGGAGGGAGCAGCAGAGGGAGCAGCAGAAGGAGCAGCAGAGGGAGCAGCAGAGGGAGCAGCAGAGGGAGCAGCAGAGGGAGCAGCAGAGGGAGCAGCAGAAGGAGCAGCAGAGGGAGCAGCAGAGGGAGCAGCGGAGGGAGCAGCGGAGGGAGCAGCGGAGGGAGCAGCGGAAGGAGCAGCAGAGGGAGCAGCGGAGGGAGCAGCAGAGGGAGCAGCAGAGGGAGCAGCAGAGGGAGCAGCAGAGGGAGCAGCAGAGGGAGCAGCAGAGGGAGCAGCGGAGGGAGCAGCGGAGGGAGCAGCGGAGGGAGCAGCGGAGGGAGCAGCAGAGGGAGCAGCGGAGGGAGCAGCAGAGGGAGCAGCAGAGGGAGCAGAGGGAAACACCAGCAGAGGAGCAGCAGAGGGAGCAGCAGAGGGAGCAGCAGAGGGAGCAGCAGAGGGAGCAGCAGAGGGAGCAGCAGAGGGAGCAGCAGAGGGAGCAGAGGGAGCAGCAGAGGGAGCAGCAGAGGGAGCAGAGGGAAACACCAGCAGAGGAGCAGCAGAGGGAGCAGCAGAGGGAGCAGCAGAGGGAGCAGCAGAGGGAGCAGCAGAGGGAGCAGCAGAGGGAGCAGAGGGAAACACCAGCAGAGGAGCAGCAGAGGGAGCAGCTGGTGGTCTTGGACTTCCCATCACTCAACCATTACAGACTGATCAAAAGATAAGTACCGCTCCACCAGCCTCTCTCCCTCTGCCTCATTGTCCCGCTTGTTGTTTTAGCATGCATGTCTTGTCTTCGTTGCTGTCCTCGTCACTCCAGCTGTCTGTGGCACCCCCAAGCCCCCCTCCCTTTTTTTTTAAGGTATAGGTCACCAGGTGTCCCAGTGCAGGTGCGGATCCCTTGGTATGGTGTTAAGGTTCAGGTCCCCCTCCCTCCATTTGGGTGTGCTACGGCTGGCTAGGTCGTGCATGGCATGCTGTCTCGTCTGCACCCTTGACTTGTCAGAATCTGCTTCCACTTTCCACTCCCTCCCTCCCTTCCTCCCTCCCTCCCTCCCTCCCTCCCTCCCTCCCTCCCTCCCTCCCTCCCTCCCTCCCTCCCTCCCTCCCTCCCTCCCTCCCTCCCTCCCTCCCTCCCTCCCTCCCTTCCTCCCTCCCTCCCTCCCTCCCTCCCTCCTTCCTTCCCCATCCCCCTATTTCACCCCTCCCAGAGCGCCAGGGCGAGCAGAAGCATGCAGGGGGAGGAGCGCAGCTGTTACACCCCGCCCAGCTGCACCTCGCCCAGCTGCACCTCGCCCAGCTGCACCTCGCCCAGCTGCACCTCGCCCAGCTGCACCTCGCCCAGCTGCACCCCGCCCAGCTGCACCTCATCTCAACACAGCTAAGTACTCACACTGGCCCTTCTCGTTGAGCCTTTTGTTTTTCTACTATTCACGTCCTTGCTTTCAGCACTGCTGCACTCGCTCCTTTCAGCACTACTGCACTCGCTCCTTTCAGCACTGCTGCACTCTCTCCTTTCAGCACTGCTGCACTCGCTCCTTTCAGCACTGCTGCACTCGCTCCTTTCAGCACTGCTGCACTCGCTCCTTTCAGCACTGCTGCACTCGCTCCTTTCAGCACTGCTGCACTCGCTCCTTTCAGCACTGCTGCACTCGCTCCTTTCAGCACTGCTGCACTCGCTCCTTTCAGCACTGCCGCACTCGCTCCTTTCAGCACTGCTGCATTGAGTTCCTTGATCACTCTCCAAATGTCAGTTACTAACCGTCTTATCTGCACCCCCCTCCTTGCCCCAGCAGGTTCACCCGCTCTGGTGGACGCTGCTGCTGGTGGCAGCTGGAGGGTGGTCAGTGCCTCTGGTGGTGGTGGTGGTGGTGGTTGGTGGTGTTGGTGGTGGTGGTGGTGGAGAGTGGTGGTGGTGGTGGTGGTTGGTGGTGTTGGTGGTGGTGGTGGTGGAGAGTGGTGGTGGTGGTGGTTGGTGGTGGTGGAGAGTGGTGGTTGGGGGGGGCCTTGGGACTGGATGCCAATAGCCGCACGTTGAAGGCATAATGGACGATCACCAGACCCTGCGGCCGGGGGTCTGGTGTGGCTCCCCTCTTGCCACGTCGGTGAGGCTTCAGCTCTCAGGTTCTCCTCTTAGCCCCACTCAGGTGTGGTGGTGGAGAGTGGTGGTGGAAGGAGGTGGAGAGTGGTGGTGGAAGGAGGTGGAGAGTGGTGGTGGTGGGTGGAGAGTGGTGGTGGAAGGAGGTGCAGAGTGGTGGTGGAAGGAGGTGGAGAGTGGTGGTGGAAGGAGGCGGAGAGTGGTGGTGGAAGGACGTGCAGGGTGGTGGTGGAAGGAGGTGGAGAGTGGTGGTGGAAGGAGGTGGAGAGTGGTGGTGGTGGGGTGGAGAGAGGGTGAGCCCCCCTGAAAGTGGTCGGGGAAGGAAGAATTTTAAGGCCCTTGTGATACAATTAGATTATTATAAATGTAGTGTTATAGCCTGCTGTTTTTAGTGGCAGCTTAGATTCCAGAACGCTAGCCTTAGCCTTTCTGTGAATTAACCAGCTTATTTGAACAAATCAGAGATTTAGCATGATGGAAGAAACTTTTACAGAGATGGCATATAATATGGTACGCCAAGCTGCCTCCATGCACTCTTCTCGTTTACTCTTCAAAATCTCCATAGGGCTCGTACCCCATCTACGGACTGTCTGTTGACGAGTACGACTCTTCCGCATCAGTCAGCCTTTATTTCTTACCCGCAGTTACCGCTTCCTCTCCACCCGTGTGCTTCATCTGCAATCATAAACAGCGACTCTTAGGACACATTAGGTTCTATATTGGCTCCGTATACCGCATCAGCAGGACCGCAGACCATGGACCTTGGGTCTTCCGCTCTAAGCAACGGAGCTGGAGGCCCGGACGGCGGCTCTCTTAGGTCCGGGTCGGGTTCAGGCTCGGCAGGCTTCGTTCGCGTGCGACGTCGCGCGGCGACGCACAAGGTGTTTCAAGGCGACTACCTTCAGCTTGCCGACGAGAACCATGCGATCCTCAAGATGCTGCGGAAACAAGGTAGGACTGCTTAGGAGAAAGTGCGGACAAAATAGGTTCGACCGCAGTCGGGCGACGCGCTCGGAGCATGCTTTGGAAACACGGTCAATTGGCGCAGGTGGTGCGGAAGCAAGGGAGACCACGTAAGATGCGAGAGCTCCAGCGTTATCAAGGTCCCAGTTTGCCCAGCTTGCCCGTTCTCCAGTCCTTATCGTTAATCTCGACTCCCCATTCCCGGCTGTTTCATTCTCACTCTCAAGGCCCTGACTGGCCGCATACCACCATTGTTCCCCTTTTCCGTCAGCGTCTTGGCATGTTTATCCCATCCGCATGTCCCCATCGCGCTTCCTCCTGCATCCCGCCCTTCCAATCATTGGAACCCTGTGCATGCATGGAACCCAACGCGTCCGCACGGCGACGCAGGCGATCAGAGCGTCATTTTCGCCGACACAGTCGCCAAGGTGAACCGGCACAACAGAATCGTTCCGCGGCTGCTGGTGGTGACAGAAAAGGCGGTCTACATTATCGAGCGAGATACCTTCCGGCTGAAGCGACGCATCCCATTGGACATCATCGAGTCGCTGTATCTTTCTGAGCTGGCGGATAACTTCCTGGCGCTGATGGTCCCCAAGGAGTTTGACTGCCTGCTTGTGAGCACACGCAAGACAGAGATTGTGACTGTGTTAGTGGATGCGACTAAAACGACTTCCAGGGAGCTGAAAGTGTGCTTCAGCAACAAGTGAGTGGATTGAGAGCTTGTAGATGCCTGTGTGCTTAGGTGATTTCTGGGACTCTGAGCTTTCTAGGCATCCACAGCATGCCTAATTTTATCTCGTCTACTTCCTTATGGTGGCTGCAGGTTTGAGTACACTATGGATCCCGATACAACACGACAAGTGGAGTTCACACAAGTAGCAGGTAATATATCGTCTCTTGTTTTTCTGTTCCACAGTTTGCACTCCCTCCTCTTCTTCCATAAGCACCTCTTGCCCATTGCTTTACCCCTCCTTTTTTGGCTTCGTTTCACCTGTAATGACTCGTTATATTGGCTGTTTTTTTGGGCAGGTGGTGTGAGCACCCGCATCACTAATGCTATCTAGTTGCACCTTCAGTTGGTACTCCCTAGTTTCCTCCATCTGTAAATCTAACCAAGTCACATCTATGGACCCACCATATAAGGTTTTCTTTGCAACTTCAGTGGTTTTTGTGTGGCCTAGCCTATTTATGGGTGTGGTACAGAGCGCAGCGCATCAACCATCAGACTCAGAGGTAGATCCCATGTTTTGAGACCACCAAGACTAGTTTTGTCAAGGAGTTCATTTTTCTATTGTTGGAGGCATGGAGGTTCAACTTTTTTTGTGGTCTTTGCATTCGGTGTCATTTACTGTACATCCACAAACAGTTATCTTGCAGAAGATGAAGAAGCTCGAATTTCGATGTTGTTTCAAACGAGTTGTTTTTTCATTAAATCCTTACACCGCGTACGAAATCCAAGCCCTAAAATACTGACTTGCTTGCAGGTGACACACTACAGACCAACCGTCGCCAGCGTCGCTGCACTGTCTCGCCAGTCGCCACCGCTGACGGATAACTGCGCGGTTGCGCGCAACTGCTTTGATCTCTCTAAATCCCGGGATTAGGGTGTTAGTGGGTGAAACAGCTTCTTAACTAAAGCTCGCCCTGGTTTTGTCGCGTAGCATCATGACGAGCCGTGGCCGTTTGCAACGAGTCAACCTCACCAGTCCCCCTCTGCGGGGACACGTATACCCCTCCGTGCCCTGCGGCTACGCGTAACTCTTCGTGCGCTGCGCTAAGCAGCGGTTAGATTCAACGGCATGGGACGCAGCCAGCGTCTCCGCGAGCGGTCGTTGTGCTCCCTAACCGCGAATGGCACGAAAGGGTTACCCGCGCCGCACTCCACGAGCCATGCGAGCCAGTCTCGGGCAAAGATCCCCGGGTGCTTGTCAGGCAGCGATAACCGCTGACCCACCACCAGCCCGCCTCTCGCTCCTAACCTCCGTTCGGCGCCGCGAATGTCGCAATCCGAGGGTCGACTGAAGCAAGGCCACGTGAACGCATAAATGTCGGCAGACTCGCATTCTGAACTCTCAATCGCTTCTGCGCCAGATTTTCACCGACTCATTCGCCATCTTCCCCACCCTCGCCCGCTGTGAGGAAGCCAGTTCAAAGGCCCCTCGTACCCTCCCCACACCCGCTTTCCTCACACCGTTTCCGTCTCTTAGGCGCCTCAGATACTCTGCTCCCCATTCCTATCCTTCGCCGCTGCGTTTGCTTGTTCGACCGGTTTCCAGTCCCCATGGCGTCTCCTCGTCCCGCTGCTCGTTCGCTGCCGCCTGCCGTGGCGGCTGCCGCGCTGTGCCTCCTCGCCGTCGCCGTGCTCGTCGGCTCCGCTGCTGCCGCTGATCCCGTCACTGGCGTCACTCCCGACAAGGAGGGTGAGTCGCTCGACTGTATCCCCGGAGCTGCTGCTTCTGCTCCTGCCGCCGCTTCTGCTGCTCCCACTCTCTGCCTCTCTGCCGCTTTCGTGCCTCTCTCTGCCTCTTGTCTCATCCCCCGCCAACTCGTCTCGTCCCTCGTCTCCTCTGCACCGCGCCTCCCCCTTCACCCCTGCGTCAGTGGCGGCGATGCATGCGATTCGCGACGCGTTGGGCGTGGACGCGGTGCAGACGTGGCTGCCCGGCTGGGGCAGCGCGGGGGACATCTGCGGCCCCCTGGGGTGGGCACCCGAGGTCACCTGCGACCAGACGCCCTCGGGCAACTACACCATCGTCAGCATGTAAGCCCCTCGTATCTCATCGCGCCTCTTGAGATGTCTCAAAAGCCGCCGCAGGTCACCTGCGACCAGACTCCCTCGGGAAACTACACCATCGTCAGCATGTCAGTCCCGCCCCGCTCATGCCGCTCGTCTCTCACGCGCCTCGAATGTGCTTGCATTCTGTTTTGTTTTGTTTTGTGTACACTGTGATCTGCATGCGAGCGTCGTCTCTTCTCCACCTGTCTGCGGCATTCCGTTACCGCGTGCTGCTGCTGCTGCTGCTGCTGCTGCTGCTGCTGCTGCTGCTGCTGCTGCTGCTGCTGCTGCTGCTGCTGCTGCTGCTATGCCCCATTCCTCGCGCCGCGTGCTTTGCTGCTCCGTCTTTCGCGTGCACTCATCTCCTCTCCTCCCCTCTCCTTCCCTCGCCCCTCTCCCCCCGTCCATCTCTCCCCTCTCCCCCCGTCCATCTCTCCCCTCTCCCCCCGTCCATCTCTCCCCTCTCCCTCCCCCCGTCCATCTCTCCCCTCTCCCTCCCCCCGTCCATCTCTCCCCTCTCCCCCCGTCCATCTCTCCCCTCTCCCTCCCCCCGTCCATCTCTCCCCTCTCCCCCCGTCCATCTCTCCCCTCTCCCTCCCCCCGTCCATCTCTCCCCTCTCCCCCGCGCAGCAACCTATCGGGCGGCATGATAGGCACGCTCAGTCCGCTCATCGCCGACCTCGACAACCTCCACGAGCTGTACGCCCCTATCCCCGCCCTCCACCCCGCCCCTGAGCCCCCTCCGTCGCGCCCCACCCACCTCGCCCGCTTACCCTCGCCCCGTCGCCCGCTCGCCCCGCTGTGCTGTGCTGTGCTGTGCTGTGCGGTGCTGTGCGGTGCTGTGCTGTGCACGCCGTGGCACCATGCATCTGGAATCGCACCTCCTCCCGCATACCTCCATGCCATGCCATGCCATGCCATGCCATGCCATGCCATGCCATTCATCTTCCCAGTTTCGCTCTTGCATACCGCTTTTCCTCTCCATCCCCTTCTCCTCCCTCCCTTCTCCCCCACACTCCTACCGTCATGTCACCTCGTCCCCCTCGGCCCCCCCCGTGCAGGAAGCTGTACAGCGTGGGGCTGAAGAGCGAAGGCCTCGTGGACACGCTCCTGCACCTCACACAGCTCGACACCCTGTCAGTAGCCCCTGCGCCCTGCTCCCTGCTCCCCGCTCCTCGCGCCGCTCCTCTTTCTCTCGCTCCTCGTCTCGTCCCCAACTGCACTGCACCATGCACTGTACCGCCGACCACGCCCGTCCCCTCCTCTCCTCTCACTCCATCTCACCATCTCCCTCCGTTACCTCCCCCGCTACCCCCCTCCCCCTCCCCCTCCCCCCGAAGTCCACAACATGCCGGTGGGCATCACCACGGCTGACCTCGACCTCTCCAACTTCTCCATCTCACCCGCGTGTCCCCTGTCACCTCCCCCTCTCCCCCTCTCCCCCTCTCCCCCTCTCCCCCTCTCCCCCTCTCCCCCTCTCCCCCTCTCCCCCTCTCCCCCTCTCCTCCTCTCCCCCTCTCCCACTCTCCCTTTCTCCCCCCTGGCAGTGAGATCCACAACATGGCGGTGGGCATCACCACGGGGGAGCTCGACCTCTCCAAATTCGCCAACCTCCAAAGCCTGTGAGCTGCTGCCGCTGCTGCCAGCCTCCTACCTTCTCATTCCACCTGTCGGTTCCTCCCGCTCTACCCATTCTCCTCCACCCCTTTTATTTTTCCTAACCGCCTCTCCCCATCTCCTTCATCTCCCCTCCGCATCTCCGCTCCCCCTCTTCCCCCCCCCTCCCACAGCACGCTGCGCAATGTGATGCTGAGGGGCCCTATCGCCAAGCTCAACCTCCCCGCGCTCACCAACCTGCAATTCCTGTCAGTGCCGCTTCCCCTGATTTACTTCCTACATTAATTTCGCCCGTCCCAATTCACTCATCGCTCTCCTAACTCCACTCGATTCTCCTGGTTCTCATCGGCTGCCCTCTTCCTCCTCCCCCCTCCTCCCCCCCACCACTTTTCTCTCCCTGCAAGCAATGACATGTTTCAGAAACAGGAGACCGTTGAATTGACTTAAAAGCCCTTCCCCTCCGCTCCCCCACCCGCGTGCCCATGCCGCCCGTGTGTGTGTGTACTCACATCACATCACAGGGACTTGGCGCAGAACCAGCTGACGGGCGAGCTGCCCAAGGGGCTCTCCAACATCGCCCACATGTCAGTGCCGCCCACTCACCAACACTGCGCATTGCACACCTCATCTGCTGCTGCTGCTTCTGCTGCTTCTGCTGCTTCTGTTACTGCTGCTTCTGTTGCTGCTGCTGCTGCTGACTCTCATCTCGCCGTTCCCTGACCCTCTCCTGCTGCCTCTCCCCCTCCGGCCCGTTCCCCCTGCCCCTCGCCTCCCTGTGTGCCTGCAGTGACCTCTCCTCGAATGACCTCTCAGGAGTGCTGCCCACCGACCTCATCTCCTCACCCAACGTAGAGCACCTGTGAGCCGCACCCGCCCCTCTGCCTCCCATCTACCGCCCATCTACCCTGCCACCCCTCCACCGCCCCTCTGCTTAACGCCTCTGTCCCGCCTCTGCTACTCCTTTGTATCCTGTTTCCCCTTCCGCTCCCCTCCCTGTCTCCATATCTCACCTCCTGGTCCCTCACTACGGCTCTACCCCCTGCCCGACCCCCCACTCCTCTGTGCGGCGCGGCCCCACAGGGTGATCTACAACAACCGTTTGGAAGACACGATGATTGTGGGGTCGACTCACAAATCCCCCTTCGCCCTTCCCCTGCCCGCTCCCCCCCGTCTGCTCGCCCCCACAGGGTGATCTACAACAACCGTCTGGAGGGCGCCCTGCCGGACGTCTTCGCCGCTGCCGAGAAGCTTCAGCAGCTGTGTGTACCCCCTTCGCCCCCCTCGCCCCTCTCGCGCCTGCGCCACATCGTGCCTCGTACCTCGGCCCATGCCCGCACAGCTTCATGCCATGCCATGCCATGCCGTGGCGTCACAATGCAGCACCATGTCATGCGCCATGCTCCATGTCAACCCTCTCTGCTCCATCCATGCCTCCGTGTGCTTCACTTCTCTCATCCAATCTCTCCATCTGTCCCCACCCTGCCATCTCCCCACCCGGCTGCCCATCACCACTACAGTGACCTCTCCCAAAACAAGCTTGTCGGCTCCCTCCCTCCTTCACTCGCCGAGCTGCCCAGTCTGTATTACATGTAAGCGCCCCACCCTTTCCCTCCCTCCCACGCCACATGCCTCTCAAATTCCTCTGCCTGCCTCCTCCCTTGCCGGCCTCTCCCGTGCCTGCTTGCATTATTCCTCCCCGTAACGCCCCACACCCTGTCCTGTCCACTCCTTCCCGTGCCGGCCCTCCCGCCCTCGCCCCCGCCCATCTGTGTGCTCCCCGGTCCGTGCAGTGACCTGAGCAGCAACGCCTTCCGTGGCAAGATGCCGCGCTTCTTTGCTGCCTGCACCATCACCAACACCAGCGCCTTCCTGTATGCCCCCACCCTCCCACTGCCCACCTGCTCGCTCTGAGCACCACACTGCCGCTTCTCCGCTTCTCCCTTCCACCTGGCTGTTTCTCAGTGCCTGCCTGCCTGCGTGCCTGTCCGCCTGCATGTCTTTCTGACTCGCTGCGTGCCTGACTGCCTCTCTCTCGCCATGTGTGTCTCTGCGGGGCTGCAGCAACGTGTCGAGCAACAAGCTCACGGGCGGCATTCCCAACAGCCTGGGGCTCTACGCCCACCGCAACACCGTCATCCTCACTGTGTACGTCCCCCATCCCACCTCCATTGCACCTCCATCCACGGCCCCTCATCCCGCCCCCCCTCACACCTCCATGCGTGCCCCTCCACTCCCACCCTGCTAATGCCTCTCCATTCCACGTCATCCCCCCAGCCTTTACCAATGCAACCACTTGTGACCCCTCCGTTGCTCTCCCTCCCCTGCTCTGCCCTGCTGTGCTCTCTGCGTGCAGGGATATGTCACACAACGAGCTGCAGGGAGCGGTGCCCACGAGTCTGCTGGCAGCAGACACGCTGTTGTACGATTACAACGACGGCCTCTGTGACGCGCCCTACCTCCCCATGTGCGGCCCTGACGGCAAGCCCGCTGCTGCTGATCCCTCTGATCCTCTCACCGCGCTCATCAAGAATGGCACTTCTGACGACGGTTCCACGCCTTTTGCTGACATCCCTACCACACCCACGCCTGCCCAGCCCACCCAGCCCACCACTCCCACCACTCCCACCTCCACGCCTGCTGCGGCTGACCCTGCTGCCACTGAGCCTGCTGTTGCAGCTAAGTCGGCAGTCACAGCTGCGCCGGCTGCCGCCCCTCCCCAGCTGACCTGCAACTGTGAGCAGCTGTCTGGTGGTGTGATTTTCGGCATTGCCTTTGGCGCTTCTGTCCTGGCGGCTGTGCTGGTGGCGGCGGTGGTGCTGACGTGGCTGCACTACGGCAATGCGCGCGCGGCAGCGCGTGTAGAGGGCGCTGGGTTCCTGTTTGCCAATGGGGAGAAGGTGAACGGTGGTGTCAAGGATGTGGAGAAGTATGCCAACTAGCTGGCAACTGGCACCAGCAGTTGCAGCAGCAGCCGCAGCAAGGACGAGTCCTTGGATCGTTATATGCTCCCTGATTAATGGAAGGGGGCAAATCTGATCTTTATTTCGATTGATGGCAGGTGGCAGTTCTTTCTTTCCTGCGGTTGGTGATGTGGAAGGGAGCTGATTATGGTAGATGGTGGTATTGTGTATGCTTGATGTCTCTAATTGCTTGTAACTGTCTTGGAATAATAAAACCGCGATTGCCACAATTCCGTGTTCCTCTATCGAGTCGAAGCTGTTGTCGAGTCTCGCCGACATTCGAACGTACATCCGACACACCATCCATCATGCATCGTGCACGGTACAGTAGTGCTCCCTCCTCCCCACTCACACCATGGTTCATCCGATCAAGTCATCCATGGTCCATGACTTTCTTTCCTTCCCTTTCAAGCACTCGCAGTCTTGGACTCTTGGTTGGAGCCCCTCTTTTCCCAACGCAAGTGCCAGAGCAGCAAGTAGCATTGCCATGTGTCGCCAGCCAGGCTTCATTTGGGGAAGTGCTAGCCTTCACCCACCTCGCATCAGGGAGATTCTTCCGAGGCGCTTTATGATTTTAGCGAGCTGCCTAGAGCTTGCCGCGTGAAGCCTAGGGATTGTTGCACGTACTGCTGAGTCGAAATCGTGGCACAAAGTCTGGGTATTGTCGCTGGAGGCCTATTGACAGCATGATGGCGCCTTGGAATTGTCGGACGAAGTGGAGAGATTGTCGCACGAAGGCTAGGGATTGTCGCACGCAGGCTAGACATTGTCGCACACCCGGGTTCAGCCGAATTCATTGGCGCCGTTGCGCTCGCCATCGTTCGTTTCTCGCTGTCACGCGGAACATGTCCACCTTTGCAGCTTATAGCGGAGCATTTGATGGCGGCTCCAGTCCCTGCTTATAGCGGGTATTAGTAAACTGAGGCTCGTTTTCGTCCCTTGAACCAGCTCTGCGCCGGAGCGTTCGCAGTATCGCTCAATTCCGCTCTCTAGAAAATCACAATTCCTGGTCAGATCTCACCGGACTGCACCGAGTTCCACCACTCTCAGTCTCCTGCTCACTCGGCTGCATAGCTTTATTCCGCAATCCGCCCCCCATGGGGAGCTTCAACGAGCGGGACCAGGCTCGCGCGCCCGCCTTACCCTCCGCGCCTTCCCCCATGCTGCTCCCCTCCGCGCCCTCCCCCACTTCCGCCAACGCGATTGGCCGATCGCGCTCCCTCACAAACTCCTCTTCCGCCTCCCTCGTCGTTGCCTCTGTTCTCTCCGCATCCCGCTCCCCCCTCCCCACCTTCCCGCGCCAATCCTCCACTTCCGCCACGGTTTCCCCCTGTCGCGCCTTGCGCCCGTCGCCCCCCGCCGCGCGCGGAAGCGGCGGAGGGCGGGGAGAAGACCCTTCCGCGGACGTCTCCCGCGAGTTCCCCAACGGCGACTCGTACCGCGGGCAGTGGGGGGCGGCGTGGGACGTGCCGCACGGCGCGGGGTGCTACGTGTGGGCGGACGGGAGCGTGTACGAGGGGGAGTGGGCGCGCGGGGAGAAGCACGGGCAGGGGCTGTTTGTATGGCCGTCGGGCGCGCGCTACAAAGGGGAGTGGGCGCGCGGGCAGATGCAGGGCGTGGGGAGCTACTGGGGCGCGGACGGGTCGTTTTACACGGGGAACTGGGCGGGGGGCGTGAAGCACGGGCTAGGGCGCAAGCTCTACCCCAACGGGGATCGCTACGAGGGCTTCTGGTCGTTTGGCGCGGCGCACGGACCGGGGCGGTACGTGTGGGCGAACGGGAACGAGTATTTCGGCGAGTGGGAGGGCGGGACGATGAGCGGGTGCGGGACGTTCACGTGGGCGAGCGGCGAGCGGTACGAGGGCGAGTGGGAGGGCGGGGTGGAGCACGGCGTGGGCGTGTTCGCGTGGCGCGACGGTAGCCGTTATGAAGGCACGTGGAGCCGCGGGCTTAAGGACGGTAAGGGCGTGTTTTACCCCGCTGGGTGCGCGCATGGCGCAGGGGACGCTGGGGAGAGGGGGGAAAGGGAGGCGGGGATGGGGGAGGAAAGGGATGGGGATGAGGGGGAGGAGGAAGGGGGGGAGGAGGCGGAGGAGGACGGGGAGGAGGAGGGGGATGTTGATGGGGACGGGGAGGGAGCGGAGGAGGAAGAGGATGAGGAGGAGGGATGGGGATTGGAAGGCGAGGAGAAAGGGGAGGAGATGGGGGGAGAGGCAGGGCAGGGGGATGCAGCGGGGAGCAGTGCTGCTGCTGCGGCTGCCGTTATGAACGGCTGCAGTCCTGATGACGTTGATGGTGCTCTGGCGGCCGTTGCAGCACCAACAGCAGCGGCAGCGACGTCAGGGGCGAGTGTGGCGGGTGCGAGTGCAGGGGAAAGGGCTGCTGCGGGGCAGGTAGCGCCTGGTGCCGTGCTGCTGGCTAAGCAGGCTCCGGACCTGAGCTCAGGCTCGTTCAACGCTGGCTCGGCGAGCTCAGGTTCGGGGAGGCTGGCTCGGAGGGGCGGTGTAGCAGCAGCCACGGGGGGAGGGGGAGGTACGGCAGGGGTGAAGGGCGTGCAGAGGATGTTACAGAAGCGGCTTACAGCGGGGACGAGGGCGCTGGAGGTGGCGCTAGGGCCCACGGGGAGTGTGTACCTGGCTGCTGATGCCGTGCCCGCTATGCCCCTCCCTGACTCCTCCTCGCTTGGCCGGGGGGACGGCAGGCCAAGCGCGCGGGAGGGAGGAGGTGGTGTGGAGAAGGGGGCGGAGAGGAAGGAGGCTGGTGTGGAGGGAAGGGAGGGAGTTGGGGCGAGGGAGGGGAGGGAGAGGGAGGGAAAGGAGGAGAGGGTGGTGATTGCGATTGGGAGGAGTTCAAGAGGGGAAGGCAAGGGCGAGAGGATTGCAGGAGAAGGGAGCAAGGGCAGAGGGCAGGAGAGCACTGGCGGGGCAGTGAGTGACACGGACATGTGGCGGCCTCTGATTGGCAGCGGTGCGGAGAGCAGCCAATGGGAAGGAAGCAGTGGTGAAGGGGCGGTGACGGATGGGAGGGAGGCAGGGGGGAGTGGAGCAGGATGGAAGGAGCTGGAGAAGGGGTTGAGAAGCGAGGCGAGAGGGGCGAGAGGGGCGAGGGAGAAGGCGAACGGAGAGCGATGGGAGAGCGGGGCAGATGGGGGGCATGACAGCGGTGTCATGCATGCCAGGTCCCCTCCCCACTCTCTCAAGCCTGCCGGGCGTCCTCCCCCCGTCCCCCCCCGCTCGCCCCTACCACCTGGCCGCCCCCCCCCGCCCCTTCCCCGCTCGCCGCTGGCAGCTGGGAGGGGTCTGTGGCACGCGCGCCAGCCCAGTGACGACTTCTTTATTGGGCTGTCTTCGTCCAATGGCAGCAGCACACGTGGCAGCCCTGGCAGCAGGAAGGGGGGGCGCAAGTGCTTGTCGGGGCCGCTGCAGGCGCGGGCGAACCAGGCGAGGGAAAGGGGGGAGGCAGGGGAGATGGGGGAGATGCGAGGCGAGGAGGGAGAGGGGATGCATGGGAAGGGGGGGCGACAGCAAAGAGGGAGAATAGGGGGAGGGGCTTGGAGGGAGGGGGAGGAGGAGGAGGAGAAGGGTGTTGGGAGAAGCGCTGCTGTCTCCCGGCCAATGACAGCGAGCCACGTGTCGGAGGTGGACATGGAGGGGCGGCAGGACAACTGGAAGGTGTGGAGGGAGGAGGCCCCCTCGCGCTGGCGACACCACCTGGGCCTCCGCGGCCCCCTTGCTGCGCCCTCCCCCTCCCCCGCTGCTCCCAGTTCCCACCCAGGCCCTGCTGTTGCCAGCGTGGGACCTGCCGCGTCCAACTCAGCAGGTGCTGCTGCCAGCTCAGCAGCCGTAGCTGCCAGCTCATCAGCGAGTGCGGCCTCAGCAGTGGCGATGGGGGCAGGTGGAGGAGAGGGGGTAAGGTCACCGCGGGGCATCACACGTGCTCTCACCATGGGGCCTGTGCCGGGGCGAGGGCAGCAGTACGCTGAGGGGGAGGGGCGCCGTGGAGGGGCGTGTGGGGCGCTGGAGGCGAGGGAGGAGGGCGGAGCGCAGGAGGGGGCGAGAGGGGAGCAGTCAGGAGAGGCAGCAGTGCTGATATTGAACGGGGGAGGCGAGGGAGAGGCGTGTGAGGTGCATGGCGATGGCTTAGACAGTATGCATGCCCCCTCGCAGTCCCCAGGTTCAGACATGCACCAGCATGCGCGAGGAGGAGAAAACGGTGGTGCACAAGAAGGAGGACCCGGGGGAGGGGGGGGGGAGGGGCATGGGCAAGGGCGTGGGCGCGCAGAGGGGGGGGGGCGTGCACAGCGGCGGGGGCGGGGGCGGGGGTACAGCATGGGGCAGGTGGCGGGGGTGGAGGCGGTGGAGGATGCGGTGATGGTGAGGGAGTACGTGCACGGCGTGCTCGTTGCTCAGCAGCCGCTCTCCTCCCACTCCCACCCCCCGGTAAGCCTGCTCTCTGCTTCTTTCTCTTTGTGTGCTGCCATGCCCGTGCCTGTGGCAGCACGTGCGGTGGAGGTGTGGTGGGCGAGGAAGCATGCAAGGAGCATGGAAACACAAACCAACCACGAGTCATTTGCACCTGCATGCGTCGCTGCTAGCCCATGCTCCCACCTTCACCTTCCCCTCCCCTCCCCTGCCCTTCCCGTGCCACACTTCTATCCCGCCCTTCCCATGCTGCTCTGCCCTACCCCCTCCCTGCATGACCGGTGTGTGTGTGTGTGGCATGGCAGCGGTGGCACGTGCCGAGGGGCAGGGAGGGCAAGAGGGCGGGCGAGCTGATCTACAAGGGCCACCGCAGCTACCTGCTCATGCGCACCCTGCAGCTCGGCCTCCGGTGTGTGCTGTGCTGCTGGGGTGATGGTGTGATGGGGTGATGGGGGTGATGGGGGTGATGGGGGTGATGGTGTGATGATGGGGGTGATGGTGGTGATGCTGTGATGGGGGTGATGCTGTGATGGGGGTGATGGGGGTGATGGTGCGATGGGGGCGATGCTGTGATGGGGGTGATGGGGGTGATGGGGGTGATGGGGGTGATGGTGTGATGGGGGTGATGGGGGTGATGGGGGTGATGGGGTGATGGGGGTGATGGGGGTGATGGTGTGATGGGGGTGATGGGGGTGATGCTGTGATGGGGGTGATGGGGGTGATGGTGCGATGGGGGCGATGCTGTGATGGGGGTGATGGGGGTGATGGGGGTGATTCTGTGATGGGGGTGATGGGGGTGATGGGGTGATGGGGTGATGGGGGTGATAAGGGTGATGGGGTGATGGGGTGATGGGGGTGATAAGGGTGATGGGGTGATGGGGGTGATGGGGGTGATGGGGGTGATGGGGTGCTGCCAATGATGCGACTGGTGTGCTTGCTGGGGTGGTGAGGTGGGTTGGTTGAACAGAGCTCCTCTCCTGCCTAGTGCATACCACCTTTCCTCTCCTCTCCACCCCAGGACTCACATGCTCATCCCACCTCCCATTCACACTCCCCTCGTCCCCCCCAACAGGTACAGTGTGGGGAGGATCACGCCAGACGCACAGAGGGACGTGGGCCCGGCGGACTTCTCTCACTGGCCTGCCGTGCGCTTCCCCCCGGCCGGCTCACCCACCACACCGCCGCACTCCATGCATGCATTCAAGTGGCGCGACTACTGCCCCTCCGCCTTCAGGTGAATTTATCTCTTTGTCACCGCCTCCTGTTCTTCCTGCTTCCTCTTCTCCCTTCGTCTTCCCTTTGCTCTCACCTTCGTTTTCCCCATGATTCTCTCACTCCCTCTTTAACCCTTTCCCTCCCCTCTCTGTATCCCAGGGCACTGCGCGCCATGTTTGGAATAGACCCGGGGGACTACATGGTGTCGCTGTGTGGGGACGACGCACTGAGGGAGCTGAGCAGTCCGGGCAAGTCGGGCAGCGTCTTCTTCCTCTCGCATGACGACCGCTTCCTCATCAAAACCATGCGCAGCGCTGAGCTGCAGGTGAGCTGCTTGGCTGCAGGTGGGTGGGCGCGGTGTGACTCTTGAGTCGACTCACGAGTCACCTCGTCTTCTTCCTCTCTCATGACGACCGCTTCCTCATCAAAACCATGCGCAGCTCTGAGCTGCAGGTGGGTGGGCAGTTGGGCTGAGATGCATGTGAGCGGGCTGAGGTGCAGGTGGGCAGTTGAGGGAGCTGAGAGCTGAGGGAGCTGGGCAGCCCACTCTTCTTTCTCTCGCATGACGACCGCTTCCTCATCAAAACCATGCGCAGCGCCGAACTGCAGGTGAGCGGGCTGAGTTGCAGGTGGGTACAGAAGTGACAAGGTCAAGTTGCCGGGTGCATGGGAGCATGGCTTGGGGGGTTACGTGCATGCTGCTGACCCATCACATCCCATCCCTCATCCCGATCCCTTCTCTTTCCACCTCACCCCTCCAGGTGCTCCTGCGCATGCTACCGGCCTACTACCGCCATGTGAAGCACAACCCACACACACTCCTCACCCAAGTTCTTCGGCCTGCACGCCATCAAGATCTACCACACCGCCTCCTCGCACACCGCCTCCCATGCCATCCCTCATCCCAGTCCCATCTCTTTCCACCCCACCCCACCTCCTCCGCCCAGGTGCTGCTGCGCATGCTACCGGCCTACTACCGCCACGTGAAGCACAACCCACACACACTGCTCACCAAGTTCTTCGGCCTGCACGCCATCAAGATCTACCACACCACCTCCTCGCGCACCGCCTCCCGCCTCGCCGCCAAGGCGGGCGGGCGCGAGTCAGTCATCCGCTTCGTGGTCATGGCCAACCTGCTGGTGTCGCCGCTGCGCGTGCACCGGCGGTTTGACCTCAAGGGGTCGTCGCAGGGGCGCAGCACGGGCAAGGTGGCGGTGGACGATACTACAACTCTCAAGGACCTGGACCTCGATCTTGCCTTTCTGCTTCACCCGCCTTGGCGCCCCCTACTCCTGCAGTAAGTGCGGTGGTTGTTGTAGCTCTTTCTTAGGCACCTCATAAGTCGTTGCAGGGGCGCAGCACGGGCAAGGTGGCGGTGGATGACAGTGTGACACCACCACGCTCAAGGACCTGGACCTTCACCTCGCCTTCCTGCTTCACCCGCCCTGGCGCCCGCTGCTGCTGCAGTAAGTGCCAATGCTGATGCAGGAAGTGCAAGTTGCTGTGGTATCTGCTCTGCTCTCTGCTGCCCCTCGTCTTCATGCCCACCCTGCCCCTCCTCGCTCCCATCCTGCCTCCCCATCCCCCTCTCCCTGATTTCATCCCCCTCTCCCTGATTCCATCCCCCTCTCCCCTCTCCCTGATTCCACCCCCCTCTCCCTGATTCCATCCCCCTCTCCCAAATTCCATCCCCCTCTCCCGAATTCCATCCCCCTCTCCCTGATTCCATCCCCCTCTCCCTGATTCCATCCCCCTCTCCCTGATTCCATCCCCCTCTCCCTAATTCCATCCCTCAACCTCCCCCTCCCCGCATCTCTCCTTCCTCCCCCCCATGCAGGCAGATAGCGGCGGATTGCGCGTTCCTGGAGCAGCAGCACGTAATGGATTACAGCCTGCTGCTGGGGGTGCACTTCAAGGCCCCTCCAACACTCCTCAACTTCTCCCTCTTTACTCCCTCATCCCCCCCTCCCCCTGCAGGCAGATAGCAGCGGACTGTGCGTTCTTAGAGCAGCAGCACATAATGGATTACAGCCTGCTGCTGGGGGTGCACTTCAAGGCCACCGGGCCCCCGCCCGCCCCCATCGTCACCATCACTGACGCGCACCTTGACGGGCCAAGCCCCGCCTCCCTCCAACCTGCAGCACCGCATGGCACCAGTGCTACTGCTGTCAGCAGCATGCACACAGGTAACTTCGAGGCTGCTTGAACGTCGTTTTTGGGTGGAATCAAAAGTCACCCCGTGCCCAGCCGCACTGCTGCCGCACTGCTACCATGAGGGCAATCTGTCCAACCTGCAGCAGCACCTCATGGCAGCAGTGCGGCTCATATCAGCAACATGCCCACAGGTAGCTCCTGAGGCTGCTTAAACGTCATTTCTGCGTCGCTTCTTGTGCTGCGTGGCATGTTTACGAGTTCTAACCGTGTGTGTGGTGTGTTGTGTGTGCTGCGTGCCTTACCCCCTCAGAGAGGGAGCAAGGGGCAGCTGCAGCGGGCAGGCAGAGTGAAGCGAGGGATGGGGGAGGCGGGGAGGAGACGCAGCAGACCCAGCAGGGCGAGCAGGCGGCATGTGAGAGTGACACAGCTACAGCCTCACCAAGGCTGAATGCGCCCCCGCCCCTGCACCAGGTGCGCCCCTGCACCAGGTGCGCCCTTGCACCAGGTGCGCCCTTGCACCAGGTGCGCCCTTGCACCAGGTGCGCCCTTGCACCAGGTGCGCCCTTGCACCAGGTGCGCCCTTGCACCAGGTGCGCCCTTGCACCAGGTGCGCCCTTGCACCAGGTGCGCCCTTGCACCAGGTGCGCCCTTGCACCAGGTGCGCCCTTGCACCAGGTGCGCCCTTGCACCAGGTGCGCCCTTGCACCAGGTGCGCCCTTGCACCAGGTGCGCCCTTGCACCAGGTGCGCCCTTGCACCAGGTGCGCCCTTGCACCAGGTGCGCCCTTGCACCAGGTGCGCCCTTGCACCAGGTGCGCCCCTGCACCAGGTGCGCCCCTGCACCAGGTGCGCCCTTGCACCAGGTGCGCCCTTGCACCAGGTGCGCCCTTGCACCAGGTGCGCCCTTGCACCAGGTGCGCCCTTGCACCAGGTGCGCCCTTGCACCAGGTGCGCCCCTGCACCAGGTGCGCCCTTGCACCAGGTGCGCCCCTGCACCAGGTGCGCCCTTGCACCAGGTGCGCCCTTGCACCAGGTGCGCCCTTGCACCAGGTGCGCCCTTGCACCAGGTGCGCCCTTGCACCAGGTGCGCCCTTGCACCAGGTGCGCCCTTGCACCAGGTGCGCCCTTGCACCAGGTGCGCCCCTGCACCAGGTGCGCCCCTGCACCAGGTGCGCCCCTGCACCAGGTGCGCCCCTTGCACCAGGTGCGCCCTTGCACCAGGTGCGCCCTTGCACCAGGGTGCGCCCTTGCACCAGGTGCGCCCTTGCACCAGGTGCGCCCTTGCACCAGGTGCGCCCTTGCACCAGGTGCGCCCTTGCACCAGGTGCGCCCTTGCACCAGGTGCGCCCTTGCACCAGGTGCGCCCTTGCACCAGGTGCGCCCTTGCACCAGGTGCGCCCTTGCACCAGGTGCGCCCCTTGCACCAGGTGCGCCCCTGCACCAGGTGCGCCCCCTGCACCAGGTGCGCCCTTGCACCAGGTGCGCCCTTGCACCAGGTGCGCCCTTGCACCAGGTGCGCCCTTGCACCAGGTGCGCCCTTGCACCAGGTGCGCCCTTGCACCAGGTGCGCCCTTGCACCAGGTGCGCCCTTGCACCAGGTGCGCCCTTGCACCAGGTGCGCCCTTGCACCAGGTGCGCCCTTGCACCAGGTGCGCCCTTGCACCAGGTGCGCCCTTGCACCAGGTGCGCCCTTGCACCAGGTGCGCCCCTGCACCAGGTGCGCCCCTGCACCAGGTGCGCCCTTGCACCAGGTGCGCCCTTGCACCAGGTGCGCCCTTGCACCAGGTGCGCCCTTGCACCAGGTGCGCCCTTGCACCAGGTGCGCCCTTGCACCAGGTGCGCCCTTGCACCAGGTGCGCCCTTGCACCAGGTGCGCCCCTTGCACCAGGTGCGCCCTTGCACCAGGTGCGCCCTTGCACCAGGTGCGCCCTTGCACCAGGTGCGCCCTTGCACCAGGTGCGCCCTTGCACCAGGTGCGCCCTTGCACCAGGTGCGCCCTTGCACCAGGTGCGCCCTTGCACCAGGTGCGCCCTTGCACCAGGTGCGCCCTTGCACCAGGTGCGCCCCTTGCACCAGGTGCGCCCCTGCACCAGGTGCGCCCTTGCACCAGGTGCGCCCTTGCACCAGGTGCGCCCTTGCACCAGGTGCGCCCTTGCACCAGGTGCGCCCTTGCACCAGGTGCGCCCTTGCACCAGGTGCGCCCCTGCACCAGGTGCGCCCTTGCACCAGGTGCGCCCTTGCACCAGGTGCGCCCTGCACCAGGTGCGCCCTTGCACCAGGTGCGCCCTTGCACCAGGTGCGCCCCTTGCACCAGGTGCGCCCTTGCACCAGGTGCGCCCTTGCACCAGGTGCGCCCTTGCACCAGGTGCGCCCTTGCACCAGGTGCGCCCTTGCACCAGGTGCGCCCTTGCACCAGGTGCGCCCTTGCACCAGGTGCGCCCTTGCACCAGGTGCGCCCTTGCACCAGGTGCGCCCCTTGCACCAGGTGCGCCCTTGCACCAGGTGCGCCCTTGCACCAGGTGCGCCCTTGCACCAGGTGCGCCCTTGCACCAGGTGCGCCCTTGCACCAGGTGCGCCCTTGCACCAGGTGCGCCCTTGCACCAGGTGCGCCCTGCACCAGGTGCGCCCCTGCACCAGGTGCGCCCTTGCACCAGGTGCGCCCCTGCACCAGGTGCGCCCTTGCACCAGGTGCGCCCTTGCACCAGGTGCGCCCTTGCACCAGGTGCGCCCTTGCACCAGGTGCGCCCTTGCACCAGGTGCGCCCTTGCACCAGGTGCGCCCTGCACCAGGTGCGCCCTTGCACCAGGTGCGCCCCTGCACCAGGTGCGCCCTTGCACCAGGTGCGCCCTTGCACCAGGTGCGCCCTTGCACCAGGTGCGCCCTTGCACCAGGTGCGCCCTTGCACCAGGTGCGCCCTTGCACCAGGTGCGCCCTTGCACCAGGTGCGCCCTTGCACCAGGTGCGCCCTTGCACCAGGTGCGCCCTTGCACCAGGTGCGCCCTTGCACCAGGTGCGCCCTTGCACCAGGTGCGCCCTTGCACCAGGTGCGCCCTTGCACCAGGTGCGCCCTTGCACCAGGTGCGCCCTTGCACCAGGTGCGCCCTTGCACCAGGTGCGCCCTTGCACCAGGTGCGCCCTTGCACCAGGTGCGCCCTTGCACCAGGTGCGCCCCTTGCACCAGGTGCGCCCCTGCACCAGGTGCGCCCCTGCACCAGGTGCGCCCCTTGCACCAGGTGCGCCCTTGCACCAGGTGCGCCCTTGCACCAGGTGCGCCCTTGCACCAGGTGCGCCCTTGCACCAGGTGCGCCCTTGCACCAGGTGCGCCCTTGCACCAGGTGCGCCCTTGCACCAGGTGCGCCCTTGCACCAGGTGCGCCCTTGCACCAGGTGCGCCCTTGCACCAGGTGCGCCCTTGCACCAGGTGCGCCCCTGCACCAGGTGCGCCCCTGCACCAGGTGCGCCCCTTGCACCAGGTGCGCCCTTGCACCAGGTGCGCCCTTGCACCAGGTGCGCCCCTTGCACCAGGTGCGCCCTTGCACCAGGTGCGCCCTGCACCAGGTGCGCCCTTGCACCAGGTGCGCCCTTGCACCAGGTGCGCCCTTGCACCAGGTGCGCCCTTGCACCAGGTGCGCCCCTTGCACCAGGTGCGCCCTTGCACCAGGTGCGCCCTTGCACCAGGTGCGCCCTGCACCAGGTGCGCCCCTGCACCAGGTGCGCCCCTGCACCAGGTGCGCCCTGCACCAGGTGCGCCCTTGCACCAGGTGCGCCCTTGCACCAGGTGCGCCCTTGCACCAGGTGCGCCCTTGCACCAGGTGCGCCCTTGCACCAGGTGCGCCCTTGCACCAGGTGCGCCCTTGCACCAGGTGCGCCCTTGCACCAGGTGCGCCCTTGCACCAGGTGCGCCCTTGCACCAGGTGCGCCCTTGCACCAGGTGCGCCCTTGCACCAGGTGCGCCCCTGCACCAGGTGCGCCCCTGCACCAGGTGCGCCCCTGCACCAGGTGCGCCCTTGCACCAGGTGCGCCCTTGCACCAGGTGCGCCCTTGCACCAGGTGCGCCCTTGCACCAGGTGCGCCCTTGCACCAGGTGCGCCCTTGCACCAGGTGCGCCCTTGCACCAGGTGCGCCCTTGCACCAGGTGCGCCCTTGCACCAGGTGCGCCCTTGCACCAGGTGCGCCCTTGCACCAGGTGCGCCCTTGCACCAGGTGCGCCCTTGCACCAGGTGCGCCCTTGCACCAGGTGCGCCCTTGCACCAGGTGCGCCCCTGCACCAGGTGCGCCCCTGCACCAGGTGCGCCCTTGCACCAGGTGCGCCCTTGCACCAGGTGCGCCCTTGCACCAGGTGCGCCCTTGCACCAGGTGCGCCCTTGCACCAGGTGCGCCCTTGCACCAGGTGCGCCTGGCCCTTGCACCAGGTGCGCCCTTGCACCAGGTGCGCCCTTGCACCAGGTGCGCCCTTGCACCAGGTGCGCCCTTGCACCAGGTGCGCCCTTGCACCAGGTGCGCCCCTTGCACCAGGTGCGCCCTTGCACCAGGTGCGCCCCTTGCACCAGGTGCGCCCTTGCACCAGGTGCGCCCTTGCACCAGGTGCGCCCTTGCACCAGGTGCGCCCCTTGCACCAGGTGCGCCCCTTGCACCAGGTGCGCCCTTGCACCAGGTGCGCCCCTTGCACCAGGTGCGCCCTTGCACCAGGTGCGCCCTTGCACCAGGTGCGCCCTTGCACCAGGTGCGCCCTTGCACCAGGTGCGCCCTTGCACCAGGTGCGCCCTTGCACCAGGTGCGCCCTTGCACCAGGTGCGCCCCTGCACCAGGTGCGCCCTTGCACCAGGTGCGCCCTTGCACCAGGTGCGCCCTTGCACCAGGTGCGCCCTTGCCACCAGGTGCGCCCTTGCACCAGGTGCGCCCTTGCACCAGGTGCGCCCTTGCACCAGGTGCGCCCCTGCACCAGGTGCGCCCCTGCACCAGGTGCGCCCCTTGCACCAGGTGCGCCCTTGCACCAGGTGCGCCCTTGCACCAGGTGCGCCCTTGCACCAGGTGCGCCCTTGCACCAGGTGCGCCCTTGCACCAGGTGCGCCCTTGCACCAGGTGCGCCCTTGCACCAGGTGCGCCCTTGCAACCAGGTGCGCCCTTGCACCAGGTGCGCCCTTGCACCAGGTGCGCCCTTGCACCAGGTGCGCCCTTGCACCAGGTGCGCCCTTGCACCAGGTGCGCCCTTGC